TGATGTAGGACTCCGGCAAAGTGTACTTCGCGACCAGCATGTAGCGAAGATTGCGGTTTCGCTCCTGACGCCCCCTTCCATGTGGGTTTACCCCCAAGGTGCGGAAGGGGCCAGCGATATCGATGTTCAGGACAAACAAACTCGGGTGGGATACTCGCCGGTGCTGATGTCCTGTCGCACCGTACGTGGTGCATTGCAAGCAGTCTCTTCGTGCCGGGTAGTGACCCGATTTGACGTGGTCTCGCCACTGCTCCTGCGACATGGCTCTGAGAGTCGCAGGGTCCACGACAAAGTCACCCCGGGATACCACCTCCAACACCACTCGCTTCAATCCTGAGGCCAAACCACCATCTGAGACTTCTCTTCCCATTGGCTCCCCAGGTTGCACCCGCTTGTCCTTCAAGACCTCCATGTTGCAGTTGGTGATGATCTCGGTAGGCCTCGTCACTGCCAATCCAAGTGCTCCTTGATCACAAAGCACCCGATCCATTGCAGTCGCCACCAAGAACCTTTCCCCCAACCTCACTTGCTGCTGCCCATAGCTGTACTCACCCCAGTTCAGGTTTCGCTCTGGACCAGACCACACAAAACCAGTCTTCTCCTCAGGGTGCTTCGACGCTAGCCTCGCCAAGCAGTACAGCAACTTCACCTGGGCAGACTTCACGAAGACGGCCTCGTCCTGAGCAGGCCCATGTGCCCCACCGGCCACAATGCATTTCAGCTTGCCCTTGACCGCAGCCCATAGCAAGGCCTGGTAGACATCCTGCTCAATGTTACCAGCCACCTTCAACACCATACGTCCCTCCTGCTCCAAGACCTTCAGGAAGCCATCCTCGTTCTCATGGGCAGGAAGGTGCAGGATCCACTCGGGCGCCTGCAAGAAGGACTTCTTGACACGTCGAGGAAGTGGAAGGGCCTTCAGGTAGTCCCAACCCTTTGCTAGGTTCAGCTCCACACACAGCCTTGTCCTCAAAGCTTCAGGTAGCTCCCCAAACACAGGCCCCATCAACGCCTTCCAGAGAGCATTTCTCGATCCTGAAGCCACATAGTCGTCGAGATGCGTAGTCCACGGTGCAGTGTTAGCGCCCACCTTCAGGGCCTCCAACTTCATCTGCAAGGTTTGCACCTCATCCCGAAACTCTTGAAGCTTGGCGTTCTCCACCTGCTCGATGATCTTGTCCGCCTCTGCCATGGTGAGCTCCGGACATCCAGCCTTCACGCTGGTTCGCAGCACCCCAAGTGTTGGATGCACAATCTTCAAGCCCTTTCGTCCCCAAGATATCTCGCAACCCGCACGAACGAGATCTCCCATGGGCAACAAAGGCTGAGTCGTCGTAGACGGCGTGAGTATAGATCCCGCTGGCGTCTGGTAGAGCTGAGTCCTCTCGTTGTTGGCCAGCACCACACTCACCTGGTTTGCATCCTGAAGCTCATGAGGATCTCGAGGTTGACGAAGAATGTTCGTAGCCCCAGAGTCAATGAGCACCGTTGGCACATCCAATTCTGCCTTGAACATCCGAGGATCTCCTCCACGAGGTCGCACCACCACGTCTTCAACCCTCAAGGCTCTCAACCGAAGCTCATCCAGCTGCCTCTGGATCGATGCCAATCCTGGATGTCCTCCTCCAGCTCCTTCTCCCACCAAAGACCTCAGAGCTTGCACCGCATCAGTCATCGCAGACTGGAGCTCCGAGTTGGGACTCGACGCTGAGGTTGTCGTGGACACCGGTGATGTCGGCTGTGGCTCCGGCTCCGACACCATGCTTCGAGCTGCAGGCTCCTCCTTCGCCCGGCTCGGTTGGCTGTGGCCTCCACCACCGCCCTTTCCACCTGTAGAACTCGAAGGTCTCGACGCCAAGGCCTTCGTCGGACAATCCGCCGCTATGTGTCCTTCACCTCCACATTCAAGGCAACGCCCACGCTTGGAGATCCCTTCGAAGGAGTGCTTGAAGCGACACGTTTTCCCTCGGCGACATCCTTCAGAACTTTTGGCGAACCACGGACAGATCTTCTGCTCGCCATCCTTCCCTTTTCCAAGGGCTTCTTTTCCTTTGCCCTTTCCTTTGTCTCGCTCTCTTTCCTTGCCCTTGTCCCGATCCTTGTCCTTGTCGCGGTCTGTAGCCCCATCCTCAACCTGCATAGGCTTGGCCTTAGGCTCTGCACCACGACTACTTCCCATCACCATCACACCTGCCAGCGTCTCCATCTCCGCCTTGAGATGCTGCTGGTACTGCATGACGGTGGCCAACGTAGGCGACGTGTCGACCATCAAAGTGTTCTTGACCAGGGATGTCCTGAATGCAGCGTCTGCATTCTTCTGCAGCACGCCTGCCACGATCACCGACAGCCCTCTAGCCAAGATCATCGGATCTGGGCAAGTGACAGCGATACCTTGAGCTCGCTGCATCCATCTCTCCCACTGACGCAAGGCCCGCACTGCCTGCTCTGCATCTGCCGCCTTGGTAGTCTCCGTCAACGACTTCAGGAGGTGCAGCTTCTCGGACTCGCCCCCCGGGCAGTACTGAACATACAGCCGGTAGACGATCTTCACCGCACTGCGAGTACACTGCCTCGCCACCAAGTCTCTCCGGACTTCCGGTGCCAATGCTGCCAGCAACATTCCAGCAGCTCGGGCATTGACACGAGCGTACCGCCCGTCGTCCAAATCCATTCCAGAGGGCCCTTGCATAGCCAACCTCACCCACTTCGCGTAGTGCAACGAGACCTCACTCTTGACGGCCTCCCACCAAGCACCACTTCCATCACTGAGGTCTCGCATCGGCCCGTCAATCAGCTCCATCCAGTCTTGAATGACGACCGGGCTATCCCCAGGAGGATCCAATGCCGGCAAAGCTGCGATCCCAGGCTTCACCTGCTCCGGCTGACCCACCTTCTGGTTCATCATGTTCAGCTGTGCCTGCTGGAGCTGCTGGATACCTGCGGCCAGCATTCCAACCAGTCCTGGCTGATCTCCGATCCCTCCACCAAACGAGGAACCGCCCACATTTCCAGCCCCAGAACCAGCCGACTGGTTCGGGCCACGAGTTGCACTCCTTGGCAACTCCCCTGCACTTTGCGGTCCACCTCCATACGCTTGAGGACCTCCAGGTGCTTGAGGAGCTCCAGGAACTTGGCCAACTCCCGACACACCACCACTTCCAATCTGCTGGTGCCCTCCAGGTAGCTGAAAACCTTGTGGAACTTGAGGAACGCCAGGTAGCTGAGGACCATGTGGACCACGTGGACCTCCCGAAACGCCAGGTAGCTGAGGACCTTGTAGACCTCCCGAACCACCATGTAGCTGAGGCCCTTGTAGACCTCCCGCAACACCAGGTAGCTGAGGCCCTTGTAGACCTCCCGAAACACCAGGTAGCTGAGGAGGACCTCCCAAACCACCAAGAAGCTGAGGACCTTGTGGACCTCCCGAAACGCCTGGTAGCTGAGGACCATGTGGACCTCCCGAACCACCAGGAAGCTGAGGACGTTGAGGAACTTGAGGAACGCCAGCTCCAGAAAGACCACCTTGTGCTTGAGATGTCCCGTGAAGTGAGCTACCTCCTCCATGAGGTACTCCGTGAAGTGGATCATCCCCTGGCACCTGAGGACCTCCTGGAACTCGACCAACTCCCTGCTCGGCCTCGCCCCCAGACTGTCTCCCAAAACCAGCATTCATCAGCTCTTGTACCTGTCGTCGCAAAGCCACCACCTCGGTCTGCACCTGGTCTCTGCGATCCCTCATGTACTGTCCCAGCTGACGTTGCACTTCAACCCGAATTTCTGACGAACCCGTAGACCCTTGCGACGTTTGTTCTCCATGAAGTAGAGGTCCACGAGAAGGCCAACTGTTCATCCTCTCCACCGCCCTCTGGTCAAACAACGCGGAGTGACCCCCACCTTCCACGTGCTGGGTCATCACCTGGAGCTCTTCCGGCGGGGAGAAATTCCAAGGCGATTGCCTGGCTGCCGACTGCGGTGTTGCTGCTACGGCTGCTGCTCTGCTGCTGTGGCTGCGGGGCGTTCCCGGGGCCTGATTGGGTGTTAGTCCTAAAGACCCTAACATCCTATCCCCTAAACCACCACCACCAGTCGTCGTCGCTCGCAGAAAGTCCGTCAGCCTTGTCATCCATCCATATGCGCCCGTTCCAGTCTGGACATACCTCATCTCCAGCCCAGTTGTACGCGACGCAGCTGTCGGCGAACCAGCATTCGCAGTGCCTTCCATGGCGGTCTGCACCATCTGCACTGCACCAAATCCTTCGGCTGCCACTGCAGTCTCCAAGCCACCATTGCTGGACTCCAAAACCCTATGTTGCTCCACCACTGGCCAGTTGTCGTTGACCTGCTCCATCTCCAGGCCACCAGTAACACCAGGGTCTCCACTGCCCAGCACACCACTATTTGTCTGCCCATCGGCAACAGCAGGTGTACTCAGGTCTCCACCCTGAACCGGTCCCACAACAACTGCACCAGTCCCATTTGCACCAGCACCATCTGTACCAGCACCAACTGTCAAAGATCCGTAGTTCGGCCCAGCTGTCTCACCAACCAGCGTAGGGGAACTCAATAATCCAGCGGTTGCGCCCAGGCCGCTTGGGCTCATGACCTCAAGAGCGCGGGGCTCTTGAGGTCCAGCAAACGACATGGTAGCTTGGCTTGTGCTTGGCTCTGGCTCGGCTTGTACTCCTTGTACGAACACAGCTTCACCACCAGAGGCTCCCTTTTCCTCACACTGCAGCACCGAAGTCCATCGGCCAGTCAGGCGGTCCTACCCTACCACAGAAAGGGCGACCCCACAACACGCCACAGAGAGTCACATGCGACCTGTTGCCTGCATGTCTGTGCTGCTTCTGCTTATGTTCCGATGCCTACGGCATGTCCTGGAACCACAAAAGCCAAAGCCACGGGTGCGTCTCATTCCACACCTTTCATCATAGGGTTTAGGGTTTAGTCCTAGGTTTGGGACCCCAGAAACTCCTAAACCTGAAAATGGGCTGGGGCAGGAGATGGTCGAGTCGCATCGGGGATTTTGCTTCAGCAGCTGGTGGCTGGATGCTGAAATAAGGGTTTAGGGTTTAGGGTTTAGGGTTTAGGGTTTAGGGTTTAGGTTGAGGGACTCAGGTGTTGAGGGTTCAAAAATTCTTCAGGAGTTCTGGGGGTGTAGGAGTGTCGGGCTTGGGGGTCAACAGGCTTTATACGAGACTTGGGGATGTAGGAGTTTGGGGCTTAGGAGGGGAGTAGGGTCTACTTGGAGGTTCAGGGCACTTATCGCGCCAATGATAACTGCACTGATGAGCCGCCCAAGTCCCCGGAGTAGGTTATAAGTAGACTTATAACTGGGGTTGGAAGTAATTTCCATGAACCTCCAAGTACAGTAATATAGGGGTCGGAATAAATACCCTTAGGGTCCCTTTATAATTACACTATAATACCCCCCCCCCCCAAAAAAAACCTATTCAAATTATTCAGGCCCCTATATTATATGGCGATTTCTCTAATTGATGGTCCTTTTGGGGTTCCTTATTACAAGGCGGCACCTCTTATTTAAGGTACCCCAAAAGGCACCATAATTTAGAGAACTGAAAATATAATTACCCTCAGGCGCCCTCGACAATTTCACTATAGTAACCCCCCAAAACCCTATTCTAGTTCTTCAGGCCCCTATATTCTACGTGGATGGTTGTCATAAACCACGGTCCCTTTGGGGTCCCTACTATAATACGGCACCTAATATATAGGGTACCCCAAAAGGGATCAGAATTTTGACAACCGCCCATATTATATGTAGGGTTTAAGGCCATGCGGTCTTTTTGCGAAGAAATGTCCAAGCCTGGAGCTCAGCTCAAGGCAGAGTGAGGCGGTTGACGTGGACCGCATCCAGGTGGGGAAGCCCTAAACCCTAAACCCTAAACGCTAAACCCTAAACCCTAAACCCTAAACCCTAAGCTGCTGAACCTTCGGCCCAAGCCAAGCCCCCTCATCCCTGAAAGACTACACTCAAAACCCCAAAACCCTAACACCCACCATGGACTCCCGAGGGATTTACCCTCAAACACTTTCCGGGTTTGGGGTTTAGGGTTTAGGGTTCAGGGTGTAGGTTGGGATCGTTTCCCCCTTATACCAGCAGTCCTTAATTGGGAGTACAGTACCCCCTGTTATAATCCCGATGAAGGACTGTTAGTGTAAAAGGGACCATCCCAAGGTGTGGGGTTTTCCCGAAATCCTTTGAACTCGGGAACGATAACTTTAGGGTTTAGGGTTTAGGGTTTAGGGTTTAGGGTTTAGGGTTTAGGGTTTAGGGATGTTAGGCACTTCGAGGCATAGGGGGTAGGGAACTAATTCAAGGGTTTGGGTGTGTTGCGCATCTTTGAAATGTGATTGTCCCGATGTAGGGTTCGGGTTGAGGTACAGGGACCCGCAGTTTAGCGACCTTACCATCTGTTGTGCAAGAATTAACATGTTCTTGTTTCCCTGTGGCCTACACAAAAGGTGAGCATGTGAGTACTTCAGGTTACCTGGCGCGGTTGGGGCTCTACGCCCGAGGCCTTAAACCCTGTCGCCCCCCAAGTTTAAACTGCCGAAAAGGCCGGCATAAATCTTTGGCCTCCAAAATTCTAAAGCCTTACTTGGAGCGAAACCGTTTCTGCCTGTACAGCAGCATCAAGATGGCACCCTTTTGGCTGCGAGAGAGAGTTCATTCCCAGCTGGGCTCACCGAAGGCTTAGGGATTACGGAGGGTTTTGTGCTGAGCCAGCAAAGTTTAGGCCTCAGGGTTTCTGGTTGAGGGTTGAGGGTTTAGGGTTTCGGGTTGCGGGTTGAGGGTGTATGTAGGGTATGTTAGGGTTCGGACTGGGGCTCAGCCTGCAAGGGTGACGTGCGGTCCGACTCTTGCCGGGAGCGGCATGGGAACTATCCTTGCAAGCTACCCAAGGCGGGGGTGGTTTAGGGGCACACGGTTATGTCAGAAACATGGCGGTTCTCTCGTCTTGTTTGGATTCTGGGGTTTCTGTTGTAACCCATTGTAATCCGGGGCCTTTGCATAGAGTGCCCCGCTAAGGGGGCCATAAATCAGAGAACTGTCCACATTGTGGGATCTCGTTGTCTTTTTTTGGAGAGGAAGTCTAAACCTTTAAGCCCTACGACGTATGGCAGCTAGAGCTCTTAAATGCGAAACCCTAAAACGAATTGTTCGGGGGGGGGTTCGGGTTTAGGGAGTTTCAGGGTTTTAATTCATTTTAGTTCTGGGTTTCAGGGGAGAAGGGTCTTTAGGGGTTGCGAGGCTCTTTCCCTGAGCCTCGAGCGGGGCCCCTGCGATTGAAGATGGAAGAAGAAGGTATGGTCTCTTTTTGGTACCCGACAAGGAAGATACCCTAAACCCTAAACCCCATCTCAACAGAGACCGAAATTTAGCGCAGCCCGGGCACGTCGTCATCGTGCTTCACAGATTTGACACCACCCAACCGAGTTGCCGTTCACTGCCGCGGCGGCCCGCAGGGCTTAGGAAGCAGGGAGCACCAGGGAGCACCCTTAGTCTAGGACCCAGAGTCGGCCCTGATTCCCTTTTTCTGAGGGTTTTATATCGGGGTCGGAATAATTACTAACAGTATTCCCTGCTCACTTTATAACTATACTATAATCCCCCCCCCCCCAAACCCCTAGTCGTATTGTTAAGGCCCCTATATTAGGTTCCCTTTATTAGCCCCTTTACAGCAAAAAGGGCACCCTGCTCATTCCTAGGTTACTCTTGAGTCTGGTAATTCTACACCCTAAAGCTGGCAGTGGGAGTTGCAAAAGCTTACGGGCTCTTAGTAGCGCGTGAGGGAGTTCAGTACCTTATCTTAGTTGTTTTGTAGGTAACCTTTAACCTTTTACAGGTCGCACGTTAACCTTTTTGGGGTAATATAATCCCCTTATCATCCCACAGGTTCACCTTTAGTTCCCCTTATAATACTGGACAATTAAGTTATGTCCCAATATTTCCTTCGAAGTGATCACATATGTTGTCCATTGCATGTAGGACACATGCTTGGCGCATCTGTGTGGCCGCACTATGAGTTCACCTCGGCACTTGAGGTGTTTTGTCTGCGTTCCTTCCTTCAGGGCATGGGGTTGAGGGTTTAGGGTTTAGGATTTCATCAGGATGTAGGGTTTCAAACTCAAAGCTGCTAAGAAGTTATATAACTCCTAGCAGAGCTCCTAGCAGACCAGGGCGGCAAATCCTAAAATCCGAGCCCTTCAATCCCTAAAACTTCACGAGCACCATAAACCCTAGGGCACCAAAATCTTCAAGGTCCTAAACCCTGAACCCTAAACCCTAAACCCTAGACCCTAGACCCTAGACCCTAAACTTCCCTAAACCCCCCCGTCCAAGAGCTTTCGTAGGCGAGCGTGGTCATGGTCTTCCACAACGAGCACATGCCAACCCTGTTCGCCTCTCATCCCTGGGCTTCGTTTAGACTTGTAGGGTATCGGGTTTAGGGTTTGGGCTTTAGGGTTGGCTTAGGGGCCAACCCTAAATCCGAAATTTCGAGCCCCTAAAGACCCCAAACCCCCTAAACCGCCCTCAACCCCCCCTAAAACCTCCCTACAAACCCTCTCAACCCCCTAAAAACCCCCTAAAAACCCTCAACACTCCGCTCTCCTCCACTTCGAGGCTCCGCTCGGTGCACTCGGTGCTGAATCTCTCCCCGGCTGACCTCCTGGAGGAGGCGTTTGTTGCGACTTAGGGGGGTTTGGGGTTTGGGGTTTCGGGTTTAGGTTAGGGGCTCTGGGCTCAAGGTGCAGGTGCTGGGGGTTTTCGGAATCGAGTTTTGGGCGTCGGGAGTAGTCGAGGGTGTAGGGTTCTGAGGGCTAGGGTTCTAGGGTTCTAGGGCTTAGGATGTCAGCTGGGGTTCTGCAGTCGATTTTGAAGGTGTATGGGCTCTCAACCCTGCCAATCCTATGCATCCCGATGTTGTTTGGAAAAGGCCCCCCAAATCCGCGGAATACAGGCAATGGTTGAAATGAACCAGTAGTGTCTAGGGTTCAGGGTTTAGGGTGTTAGGAAGGATTGCTTAGGGAGTTGATGGGTGCGTTGGGTGTCCTCTTTGAGGTCTAGGGCTCCTCCCTTGATAGGGCTTTTGGCTGTTGGGCTGAGCCCGAAACCCTGAACCCTAAACCCTAAACCCTAAACCGCGGCGCCTTCAGCCATTTTCTGAGAGTCAGACAGCCCCAAGACCGGTCGCCCGGGCAAAGTCCACGGCCGACTTCGGGCGTTTCCCTTCCACCCCAAGGCAGGAGCCGGGCCTGTGCTTCGGGTTTTGGGGCTTAAAGCTCTAGTGCCTAAACAGTTGGGGTGATATAGCCCTGTGAACATGTGAATTGGCTGCGAGATTCATCATGATTCATCTAATGTCTTCCTGAGAGCCTCTTGAGTACTCTGTCACCATCTTGTTTGTTGAGCGTACGTGGCGATCAGTCCACGCATCATGGATATGAGCTGCAACTTGAGCAAAGAGCCGACACGGAACCCAACATAATACCGAAAGCCCGCAACTGTCCATAGCAAGCCTCCCTCGATGAACAGATTTCGTTGTTAACTTCGAGGAGTTCTAGTCTCGGAGCCATGGTCCAACTGGTGACAACGAGCAGTCAGTTCAATCTCTTGGCATCCTGTCGTGAAGTTGGTGCCCTCGTTTGGCTCGAAATGTCAGGCCCATGCTTTCGCTACAACCCTCGCAGAAGAAAGGCAGAGAAAGAGAGCAAAGAGAAGGAAGAAGCCTTCCGTGCTCAACTTTGTTTCAACTGTACCGAAGCTTGAGAACCCTGAATGATAAACCCTTGCTGAGGTGTTTTGGGTAACTAAGGTGGAGGAAGGCAAGGCTTTCAGCCCTGCACCCCACAATAGTGAACCCTGAGCATAAAGATCCGCAGAGGTTTGGTGTTTAGGGTTTAGGGTTGCCCGAAGGTTCCCCAATGCTCCCTCGCACCCCTTATGCCCACAAGCTTCCCCTTCAGATCAACCCTCCCTTCGGGACCCCAGAGCCTAAACCCTAAACTAAACATTTAGACTTTAGCTGTTGTGCTTCCAGGGTGAGCCCCAAGCCACAAGTATCTAAGCGTATGGCACACAGGGCCCCTGCCTAATCTACCCACGAACCTTGAGAAGTCCTACAGCCTAAAACCCCTCAAGGAACCTTCAAGTAACCCTGTGCCCTAAATCCTAAACCCTAAACCCCGAGACCTTAAACGAGAGGAGCTGAGATAATGTTGCACCGATGTGCCGTGTCCAACGCTTGCTGCCCCAAGCTGAGCGAAGAGGACCCTGGCCGGAAAGTGAGCACCCCTAGGACCCAGAGTAGGCCCTTATTCCCTTTTTGTTGGGGGTTTAGGTTCATGAAACGCCCCTTTAAACCAAAAAAGGGCACCCGCTTTGTTCCTAGGTTACTCTTGTACCTTGTCGGGTTTGAGCGTTTCGGGGGCCTTCTGCTTTGAGGACTTTATGGTTTTGGGGCTACGTGTGTGCTCTTTTCTACCCTATGCCTAGGCATTTGTGGCCAAAGAATCTTCAATCCCGAGCCCTACCGGGCAGCCCGCAATACCCAAGCCGGGGTTGAATTATTGATTTGCTTTACTTAAAAGGGGGGGCGTACAGGAGCCTAAACCAAAAAGTTACGTACCAATAGCACCCCCTGGAATTCCCTATATTGTAGAGTCGCGAGGTAAACTACCCCCCCCCCCCCCCATCCCAAGTTTCGCCAAAACAGACCCCTACATTATTGGGCTGCCTGGTCTGAGGATTTTAGCGGCTTAAGCGCCTTTGGGAATGCCCAGCTGCTTGGCCGTCATGGGCTCGCCGAAGGCATTTGGGATTCTTCAGGGAGAGCCTTTCACAATGGTGCCACAAAAAGGGTGACCTTAATTTTACGATTGGATCTCGTGTAGGCATCTTATAGTGAATACACAAAACCCCCCTGCCCGACCCCCCCCCCCCCCCCCCCCCCCCCCCCCCCCCCTTAACTCCCCCACCCAAAACAACATTACTTCAAACATCCCCACCCTCTCTGGCTATAAGTACTCTGGGGTTGACACTCTGGGGTTGGGCACCACATCCTGGGGGTCGGGCACTCCAGGCTGGAGGAATTTAGAGACACTCTCAGAAACACACTGGGGATGGGCACTCCAGAAACACTCTGGGTTGGGCACTCCAGGGACAGTCTGGGTTGGGCACTCCAGGGATGAGCGAGGAGGAGAAGAGTTGAGTTTAAAGTCTGACAACCCCACACCGAGGGTGGTGAAAAAACCAAAAAGGCAACGACCATCATCCCCAGATTACCCTTATAAGGAGGAATATGCTGTTGTGTTTTTTGCTGCGCTTCTGAAGCAGATAGTAGTTTAGGATTGAAGAATCCGAGCCCCCCCATTCGGCTCTGGGATTCCGGACCCAAGCCTTAAACCCCTAAACTCCTAAACCCCTAAAGCCAAAATCCTAAACCCCTAAACCCCTAAACCCTAAATCCTAAGCCCCCTAAACCCCTAAATTTTAAACCCGCGAGCCTGAGGATGTACGTGAACCCCTTCTTGTACGATCCTTCTCAAGCACCTCTTCACTTCAGCATGGGTGGAGAGGCACCTCTGCACAGATTTCTGCGAAGTTCCTTTGGCTTGGGGTATTCCTCACTGGTTCTTAGCAGGGAGTTCGGGCGCTACTTTAGATCCCTCACGAGATCCTGAAGCCTTTAGCTCACCTGCGGGTTTACGCAAGAACTTGACAGCCTGTTACTGCGCAAAGGCGACGCCCAGAGAACTTGAGATGCTTAGGATTCCCCCCTTGCAGAGGTAATGTGGAAAGGTTTTCCGGCTTTTCTTCCAGTGTTCAGGTATCCTCTAAGTGCTAAACCCTGAAGCAGTGCACAGGACGAAGGTGGCGATTTCCCACCAGGTGCCCTAGCGCTGATGCCCCCTGGCAGCCAAGGGATTCTCTTTGTTGAAGGTTTCGAGCTTACAATGGGCGTCGATGTCGCTGGTGTTCTGGCCCAGCCGATCATCCCTCGGAGCGGCTCCCGCATCATTGCGGGCTGTATGCTGGGGGCCGGTGGCGAAGGTCCTGAAGGGGCTAAAGACTCAGGAAGGGCGGTCCCTGCCCCCCGCCCCACCCCCCCACAACCCTTAACCTCCATGCCTCACACCTTTTGAGCACCGGAGCACCGAAAGCAGCAGCAAGGTATGACCCTCCCATCGACGATGACCTCGACAGCCCTGATGACTGGACGGGAGAAGCCACACTGCAGACCAGAAAGCTACATTTACGGTTGGGTTTTGGGTTCAGCGTTCCGCGTTTAGGGTTCAGGGTTTAGGGTAGACGAATCCTGAAACCCTGTCGACAACCCTGAATCACTCGGAACTCTGAACCGCAACTCCTTGGCCTCAGGTGGCGTCGTTGCTGTTGTTTAGTGGAGCACCCTGTAGGATTTTGTGCTCCCTGCTGCAGACCGCGGTTCAGGGCTTCGGGCTTGGGTTTTTTGAGCTGTGGGTTCAGGATGTTTGCTGTGAGTCGGAGCAGAGGCTCCTTTGAAAATCTTCGTAGGAGCCATCATCCCACACGTTCTTCCATCCGACATCGTCTTAGGCTTCTCCCATTTGATGGCTGAAAATCTGTGTTTTCCGTCTTCCGTGTGTGGTAGGCGATGTCTCTCGACCCAGACGTAAGTTATGAGGGGCTGACCTACATTCCGACCCCTTTTGGTACCCTAAAGCACAAAGAAAACATGACAACAACTTATATCAAGCACGTGTGCATAGGGCCACGGATGGTTTTAACTGAAAGCCCGAGGCATGGGGCGGATGCGCTTTTTGTCACGTGTGAGTTCAGCACCGTCTGAGAGATCAATAAGGTCAGGGTGGTCGGGGTGCAGGGATTAGGTGATTAGTGCTAAGGTGCAGGGACTTAGGATTTGTGGTTTTGGGGCTTAAGCTAGGGTCTGAGTCTTCGGGCTTAGGGGGGGGCGCCATGACTTACACAAATTCCAAACTCCAAGCGACTGACCGGTGGGAAAAGTGTGAGAGGACTAATGCGACGTGTGAACCAAGATATGAGAGTTTGACCGTGAACAAGAGCCCCGGGAAACAGTGAACAAGACCCCCAAGAAGGATACAAGAACCCCTCAAAAGAACCCCCAAAAGAACCTAAAAGAACCCCCAAAAAAGAAGCCCCCCAAAGAACCCCCCCCCCCCCCAAAAAAAAAAAAAAAAGAGAACCCCCAACAGAACCCTCCAAGAAAATCCCGAAACCCCTGAACGCTTTGTGTGCCTGGCTTGAACGCGCGCGCGCGCGCGACCTGAGGATCCTGGAGACCAGGGGAGCTCTCTGCCACTGAGCTCAGGCCCAACAGCCCTTTTGAGGGCATGTGGAGGGCGTAAAGGGCAGTTATTCAGGGTTTAGTGAGTGTTGGGGGCGTTGGGGAGGAGGGGGGGGGGCGTTGTAGGGCTTGGAGGTCTGGGGGGTGTTGGGGAGTGAGTGGGGTAGGGGTGGGGAGTATGTCATCTGGTCTTGCTGGCTTGTCTGGTGCAAAAAGTGCTCCGAGATTCATCTCCCAAAGGTTTAGCGGCCCAAGACTCCCAAACTGTAGAAGGCTGCTGGGTGCAGCACGAGGTCCCTGGAGAAGGCAAAGCCCCGAAACCGTCCGTCCCAAAGCGCTCCTACACACAGAAGAAGCTTAATCCCCAACAGCCCCTAAACCCTGCACCCCAAAACCCTAACCCCAGAAGCCCATAGCCCCACAAGCCATTGTATAACCTCGAAAGATACTAGATGGGAAAGGTCAGGAAGAGGGCACTAATATTGTATTTGCAAGCAAAGCGAAAGAGCGCGCGAAACACAATACTATGCGAACGAAGACGGCACTCATTAATTCTCTTTTTTGCGCCGGTACAATAGTTTAATAACATAAAGGTGAAAAGAACATTAAAGGGCCAATTAATATTAGCATTATTTTTATTAATAATATTACTATTAATATTATAAATAGTATTATTAATACTTCTATTTTTAATATTACTATTAAGATTATCATCATTTTTTATTAATACGATTAATATTATAAGGACACGCAGCCCCGAGAGCCAGGACTCCGGCCCAGTGCGCCCCTCCAGCCAGTCCCTAGCGACTCACCGCTGCAGCCGTCGTGTGGCCCCTGGTGGTTTAGGGCCTTTTGGGTTTAGGGTTTAGGGTTTGGGGTTTAGGGTTTAGGGTTTGGGGTTTAGGGTTGCTAGGACCCCCCCCCCCCCCCCAATTTCGGGGTTTAGGGTTCAAAGTTCAGGGCCAGGGCTTGGGGTTTTAGGGCTTAGCCCCTGTTTTGTGTGAAGGTGAGACTTCCCCTGTTTAAGGGTTATGTCCTACATCCTGGCTGGAGCTGGGTGCAGGTTTTGGGGTTGATTTGATTCGGGAGGCTGGGGTGTAGGGTTTGAGGTTCAGGGCTGAGGGCTGAGGGCTTAGGGCTTAGGGCTGTAATGTGGATTAGGAGAGGGCTGCCTCGAGGATGTCGGGATAGCTTTTGTTTCGAAGGTCCGGGTCCTCTATGCGCAAGCTGCCAGACTCCGTGGGCCACGTGGGCCCGGAGCTTGGATCATTGATTCTGCTGGGACTTCGACCCTGGGAGGGCTTCGGATCGGTTTAGGGTTTAGGGTTTAGGGTTTAGGGTTTAGGGTTTAGGGTTTAGGGTTTAGGGTTTAGGGTTTAGGGTTTAGGGTTTAGGGTTTAGGGTTTGGGGCGTTTCAGCACTCATGGGATCCCAAAGTACCCCACAGGTTACTACCATTGGGTGGCTGGAAGGATTGTGCTCAACCCTCAACCCTCAACCCGCTCCAACCGGATCTACATCTGCTATGGTGGTTCCTCGACATTCTCGGTTTGCCTCTGTGAGCTCAGTTCATCGCTTCCTTTCCGCGTTCCTTGAGATACTGCCACACAGCGAGACCCAAGCTCTGACGTTCCCCAGAAGTCGTTTAGTTCCGGGTACCAAAAAGAGGCCGGGTACTACGGGGATCAACCTCCGTGAGCCCCTTAGACCTGAAAAGTCGAAGTCTCGCTTTCGAGGCAGTCTGCCATCCAGCGAAGGACGGCCGAAGGCAAGGCCTTAGGGTTTAGGGTCTAGTTAGGGTCTAGGGGTTAGGGTTTAGGGCTTCGGGTTTGGGTTTAGGGTTTAGGGTTTAGGGTTTAGGGTTTAGGGCTTAGGGCTTAGGGCTTAGGGTTTAGGGTTTAGGGTTTAGGGTTTAGGGTTTAGGGTTTAGGGTTTAGGGTTTAGGGTTTAGGGTTTAGGGTTTAGGGTTTAGGGTTTAGGGTTTAGGCTTCGGATACTGCCACACCTTCGAAATAGTTTCGGGTACCAAAAATGTGCCAACAAATTGGCTCAACCCTCATGAAGCTCTAAACCTCTTCAGCCCCTCGAATCCTTAGACCCTTAACCCCCTAACCCTAAACCCTAAACCCGTAAACCCCTAAAGAGCCCTTAAACATTTAGACCCCATTGGTTTCGGGGGCTCAAGGAGGGAGAGCCAACGTAGATGTCACCCCCGAGCGTGACTTAGCCTTGCGGGACGCTTAGGGTTTAGGGTTTAGGGTTTAGGGTTTTAGGGTTTAGGGTTTAGGGTTTAGGGTTTAGGGTTTTAGGGTTTTAGGGTTTAGGGTTTAGGGTTTAGGGTTTAGCGAAAGCCGTGGGTTTCTCAGGGATGGCCTGCTCGGTGGATATTCCGAGACTCAGAGCACACACCTGTTTGCTCTTGCCTTTTGAGGGTTTAGGGTTCTGGCGGTGTACGGTAGCTTTTTAGGGTCTACAAGGCTGAGGGTCCGTCAGGATGGCAGACTAACCGCAACCCTGGCAGATTTTTGGGTTCGGGGTGCTTCGGGGCGGTATCCGTTCTGCTCGGCTTCATATAGGTGGTTGTCCAAATTCTGTTCCATTCTTGGGTAGCCTAAATAATAGGTGCCGTGTTCGGGACCCAAAAAGGACCATAGTTTTTTCACAACCACCCATATGGATGTTCACCCAAACATCCTGAACGCCGAGCCCTAAGCCCCAGGAGGAGATCAGGCAAGCCCGGAAGAAACGAGCCATAAACCCCTAATTCCCCTAGTTCCCCCGAATTCCCCCCTCAGTCCCCTAACTCCCCTCATTCCCTCCTAAACCCGAAAGCCCTAAATCCCTAAACCCCTGAACCTTTAAACCCCTAAACCCCCCGAATTCCCCTACTTCCCTAAGCCCCCTAACATCCCAACCCTAAACCCGGAACCCTAAACCCTAAAGACTATCCCCTAAACCCTAAACCCTAAACCCTAAACCCTAAACCCTAAACCCTAAACCCTAAACCCTAAACCCTAAACCCTAAACCCTAAACCCTAAACCCTAAACCCTAAACCCCATCCCAGACCTCCCTGCTGGGCTCTGCGGTGGGATCTGCCACACCTAGCGGCCTGGGAGCGTTCCCTGGGTGGCAACGTCAGCAGGGTTTAGGGTTTAGGGTTTAGGGTTTGGGGTTTGGGGTTTAGGGTTTAGGGTTTAGGGTGTAGTGTTTGGGTGGGCATTGCCCTAGAGGGATCCTTCCACACCCCAAACGAGCCCTAAGCCTACAACCAACCTTTTTCCCCAAAAAAAGAGGCTTTCCCCCCAAACAAAAAACAATCCCTACTAGTACTTTCAGGTACCCCTTTGCGTGTGTATGAGACGCCCGAAATCCCGCATCCTCCCCCCCAAAATCAAGAACAACTGAGATGGGGCCGAAAGACCTGAAGGAAGTTTTTGGGGTCCGCGGCTTTGGGGTTTCGGGCCAGGTTAGGGTTGTTCTAACCCCCAAACAGTGAATCTTAAATCCAGGGTTTGGAGACTTGAAGCCCCCAGACCACAAGCCCAGAAGCGCTCAAGAGCTAAAAAGCGCTTTGAATCCCAGCAAGGCACGGCGTGCCCTCGAAACCTTTCGGGCACCACGGCAGGAATCACCGGGGTTAGGGTTTTGGGTGTTGGGTTTGGGGTTTGGGCTTTAGGCTTAAGGTTTCCACACCCATTAAATTGGAATGGGAATTTTGGGGTGATACTGGCGAAATGTCGATGTCAAGAAGTGAAGAGGATGTCATTTGAATCCACTGGCTGCTAGCTTGGTAGCCCTGTGGTCCCTTTACCCTTCTTTTGGGTTATGTATTCCCTTAAAATTAGCCAAACCAAAAACAGGGTGCCCTTATTTAAAGCTATCCAGCTAGTCATAGTTCACAGTGAACAGCTCTACAGCTTGCTGCAGATGGATGCAGCAGTTGAACAATCGAATCCTACTTCCGGCAGGATTCATGGTTTCGCAGTATATACTTTTTCAACAGGGAGTGGGTCGGCTTTGGGCTTTGAGACTCTCAGGCCTTTGGGGTTTAGGGCTCAGTGATTTGGGGCTAAGCTAGGGTTTAGGCGAATTCTTGAAGGTGCCCCTTCGAACACCCCCACAGCCCTAATGTGCTTCATGAAAAAAACCTGATCCCTGAAAGACCTTAAATCCCGAAAGCCACTCAAGTAAAGTCACTAAAGCCCTCAACCTCCAAAACCTCTAAACCATCAACCCCCCCCCTGTCCAGTCCCCACACTTAGTAGTTCTCAGTAGGGCATTTCGGCTAGGATGCCCAGTAGTGCCCCTATTCCCTTTTGGGGGGCTCTAGGCTCCACTATAAACCCCTTTAAGCAAAAAAGGGCACCCTTTTTAATCCTAGGTTACTGGGCAACCTAGTAGGGAACTTAGGGATTTAGGTGCCTCACGTCTCCCCTACAGAACCCTTGTTAAGAACGTAGGAAGCCCGCCTGACTTTCCCCTTAGTAGCTGAGTGAGCACACTTTACACTTTTTTGGGATACTCTAACCCCCTAGAGAACTGAAAGTGTACACTTTTTTGGGGGGCTTTATGAACTCAGCAACTCAGTCCCTACCAAGACCCTAAACCCTAAACCCTAAACCCTAAACCCTAAACCCTAAAGCCTGACCGAGGCCTGCCAGCCGCAAGGAAGGGGACGGCAGCCTGAAGCCCTTGGGCGGCATGTTGCCGGAGCCAGGCAGCGGTGGAACAATGGGGTTTAGGGTTAGGGTTTAGGGTTTGGGGTTTGGGGTTTGGGGTTTAGGGTATAGGGTTTAGGGTATAGGGTATAGGGTACCGCAGCAGTGTTGGCATTCTTGGGGGTGGGGTTACCCCATGTTTGGCGTTGGGGTCAGGTAAACTTTAAACTTGTTTTGCCAATATGTTATTTGGGCTGCGGACAAGAAGGGTCTGGGGCTAGTCATTCCCAGGCTACTGGGGAAGCTTTCAGTTCACAACCTGAAACCCTGAACTCCAAAGCCCAAAAGCTGAACTTTAAGCCGTAAAGCTTGCCCGATCTTCAAGCCCAAACCCGGAGCTCTAAAACCCTAAACCCTGACCTTTCCAAGCCCTAAACCCTAAACCCTAAACCCTAAACCCTAAACCCTAAACCCTAAACCCTAAACCCGACTCCCCCTACTTTCCCTCAACCCAGATCCAAGTCGTCAGGGCCCATCAACATCCGGCCTGCTCGGGTGACGGAGGATTCGGCCCCCAGGCGCGTCCCTTAAGGTTTAAGGTTTAGGGTTTAGGGTTTAGGGTTTAGGGTTTAGGGTGGAGGGGTTGGTCTAGGTTTCAAAAAGGAGCCCTGTGCATGGGAAGAGTTTTCGAAAGGTCTAGGATGAGCAACCTTCTCCCCGATAGCCGAGGCTGTGTTGCTGGCTTCTTACTGTGGGTTAGTAGGGAATGAGGGAATGAGGTACCCTATATCCCCCTATATATATATACCCCATTCCTTCATTCCCTGCTAACCAACAGTAAGGCTTGGGGTGTAGAGGTGTGGGGGGCGCGAGGGCTCGGATGGAGGCGTTGAGGGTAGTGTACGAAGAGTCCGAAGCGTACAACCTTCACTCCGGTAAGGCCACAGGAAACCGAGTGGGCGGTAAGGCCCTGAACCTACACCCCCAAGACCCCTAAAGTGCCGGGGCTCGTGTTCAGAAGCAACACCGTCCGACGAATGCTTTCAGGAGAAGATGTTGGAAACTCCATGCGCCGTATCCGGATTCCGTCACTGAAGCTAGGGGGTTTACAGAATATGCAGGGCCTAGGGGTTTAGGGTTCTTGATAGCACTACCCTCGAAGAAAGCCCTTGAACAAGGACCTTCTCGCGCTCCATCCGCGAAGCCCAGTCGTGCACTTCTGAGGCTGCGTCGGTTTAGGGTTTTGGGCTTTAGGGTTTAGGGTTTAGGGTTTAGGGTTTAGGGTTCCAGCAGGGAATCAGTAACTTCTCTAGGACGCAGAGAAGGCCCGTATTCCTTTGTTTTAGGGTTTACGTTCCCGTTTCAGCCCCTTTAAACCAAAAAGTGTCCATTTGAATGCCTAGGTTACTCTTGGGTCTAGTTTGTCGTATTTACGTATTCAGGGTTTGGGCTTTCAGGGTTTAGGAGTTGGGGTCCAACACCAAGCAGTATTTAGGGCCGCTATGCCATGAGAATCAGTGCAACGAAGCTGAGCACGTAAAACAGGAGCTGGGGCGCAAAAGGCCTAAACTGGTTCCCCTTCTACAAACAGTCCTTAATAGGGATTGTAATGGGGGAGGTACTAGAGTCTATGAGGGGAGGAACATCCCAACCCTAGACCCTAAACTTCCAGATCCTTGAGCCATCGACCCTCAGTGCCCTCTCTATTCTTCGAGCTTCGGGGCTCTACACGGATACTCGTGTCGAGACAGGGGCAATGGTAAGCTGTGAAGGATACGTAAAAAGCCTCGGAACCACCAAAAGGCAACCCAGATGAGGGCGCTTGTCTAGTCTCCGAAAACAGGGTCCGCTATCCGCTTCAGGGTTTAGGGTTTACGGTTTAGCGGTTTCATGGGCCCTTAATGTGGTCCCTTGTTTTGTTGAAGGGTTCTGACGTACTGGGCCCTTCATTTGTATAGGGTATCTAAGGGGATATACCCTCGTTTAAAGGCCCATACTAAGGGAACATTGTGGCTACCCTTGGAGAGTCAGACCCGGTAGAAATCTGCAACCAGAAGCATGGGGATCCTTGACCAGGATGGGGTGGGTCCTGGGGCGAGGTAGCTACGGAACCTCACGAGACTAGGTAGGCCCTTGGGATGTTTGTTAGTTCCCCTTGTTGGGTTTAAGACGTTTAAGAGGCTCATATTTAGGAATATCTTTAGGGGGGCTTTAAGGGCCGTAGGCTCCCTGTTTACGGCAGCCCCGAATATGGGCTCTCGAGTATAGAGTTGCACATCGGACAGTTTCAGTTGCGCAGTATCCTAAACATAAACATACACACACAAACACACACACACACACACACACACACCCACACGCGCACGCGCACGCGCACACGCACGCGCACGCGCACACACACACACACACACACACACACACACCCACCCACCCACCCACCCACCCACCCACCCACCCACCCACACACACACACACACACACACACACACAACCCCAAGACCCTTGTGAACCCAAACCATGCACAAGTGCAACACGTCCTGATGCACATATCCTTACGCTCGGACCCAGAGTAGACCCTTGTTCGGATTTTAGGGTCTAGGTTCATTTGCAGGCCCCTTTTAACCCAAGAAAGGGCACCCCTTTGTATGCCCAGGTTACCCCGAACCCTAAACCTAAGCCCTCAGCCCTAAACCCTAAACCCTAAACCCTAAACCCTAAACCTCTTGGGTCTGAAGTGGTTTGGGAGGTTGGCGCGGCCTCCATCGCCGCCATCCTAGAGTGTGTGGAACAGGCAGAGGCCTGCGTAAGGCACCTAATCCCCTCCCTTTAGGGTTTAGGGCTTAGGGTTTAGGGTTTAGGGTTAGGGTTTAGGGTCTAGGGTTTAGGGTTTAGGGTTTAGCGTTTAGCGTTTAGCGTTTAGGGTTTAGGGTTTAGGGTTTAGGGTTTAGGGTTTAGGGTTTAGGGTTAGGGTTCCCGCCGCGTAAGGTAACTAACTGTTCAGAGCCACCCAAAATGGGCCCTAGGTCCGGGTTTTGATATTGGCGGGAGGTGGGCAGGGGAACTGAGTTGCCCAACAACACTAGCAAGAACCACTTAGTAGACTTATTATTTCTTATGGGGCTTTACGGATGAAATTGCAGGTTTGGTGCTCAACTCATAACCGGGCGTCTTAGTGTTCAGGGTAGGCTTGAGGTTTAGAGTTTGGGGTTGGAACCGAAGCGCTGAGTGTCAGAAAGCACCAAGACTGTAATCTTGAGGAGCCACTGTCTTCTAAGCACCCCTTACTCAACCCTAGACCGGAAACCCAAAACCCTAAAACCCAAACCCTAAACCATAAAACCCAAACCCTAAACCCCAAAACCCAAACCCTAAACCATAGCACCCAAACCCTAAACCCTAAACCCCGCAAGGCGACCCCAGAAAGAGTTTCACGACACACCTTAAGAAGACCTCAAGCACTGGAGCCTCCGAAGGTTTAGCTTCATTGCGCGGCTTTAGGGTGGAGGGTATCAGGGCATAGGGTTTTAGGGTTTGAGGGTTTTAGGGTGTTAGGGTTTTAGGGTTTTAGGGTTTTAGGGTTTAGGGTTTAGGGTTTAGGGGGGCTAAGGGAGTGGTACCTTACGGTGGGCTCTTACCCACCGCTACAAGGGCCTCACCCACTAGCCACCCAAGATTTTGGGGTCAGTTTTCGGGGTGGCGCAGACATGAAGAGTCACCGAAACCCTGGAGGATGTACCAAAGCAGCAGAGACTCGCCTGGCATTTGGTGGCACCCTTTTGTTGAGGGCTTAGGGTTTAGGGGGTTAGGCTTTGGGGGTTTAGGGAAGGCCGGGGGGGCGGGGGGGGGGGGGGTTCAGGAGTTTAGGGATTACAGTGCCGCATGCCTCTTGGCCACTGCACCCCAATCCTTGGGTAAGATGACAGAGAAGGCAGGGCTTTAGAGCTTAGGGTTGGGGTTAAAAGTTCCATCCACAGTAAGACCCGCCGACCTCAGATAGCAGGTACATGGAACCCTACGTCTCGCCATTCAGACGAAACCTTCAAGTCCAGCATGAGACTAAACCCTAAACCCTAAACCCTAAACCCTGCTGGCCCTGTTGGAAGTTGTCCCGAGCAGAGATTATTCTTCCTTATGAGCGTTGTTTGGGCACAAGAGCACCCCGAAAAGGAGTCACAATTGAAGGCACAGGGCTCCCGAGTTGGTTCTGTTGAGTGCCTTTGGGCGATTTGGGGGTGTTGAGGGGAGTTCTTGGGTGTAGTCTTAAAGCTTGTAAGCCCTTAGGGACGAATGTAAAGCCCCAGGGCGAAGACGGTGAGCCTCGTTAGGGCTTGCTAGCTGGTGTCCAGGCTCTCGTCGGTTTGGGGTTTAGGCCTCATGGGCTTCTCGGTTCAATTCGGGTTTCATTGTCTTGGGGCATGCGAGATGGGGTGCCCCTGCTTTTGGAGATACCCACGTAGGGGCCTACGGACGTTGGGCTTGAGTCGGGTGTGTTTGCAGGCCACGAGGGTGGCAGGGCCGGTAGGTTTGGGGCTTAAGCTCAGGGTGCGTTAGGGTTTAGGGTTTAGGGTTTAGGGTTTAGGGTTTAGGGTTTAGGGTTTAGGGTTTACTTTCTGCAGGCGGCCCAATTCGGAGAAGTGGTCTGAGCGCTGGAATGCAGTCAAAGTGAAGCCACTGCGATAGGAGATGCGCTCGACCAAAAAGGAGGTCTCAAGTGCTGCATGTCGGTCGAGGCTGAGGGTTGAGGAAGGGTTTTTTTCGGCTTACTGCTTGCAGTTTTGCGATTTAGGGGCTGTTTAGGGTCCATAGGGCTGAAGGGCATTCGTTTAAATTAAGCGCCTGCAAGCATCGTTTGTAGTTTAGGGTCCCAGAAAGGGCCTTAGGCGCGCCAGCGCCCGTTGGAGTGAAGCGCTGGCCTAAAGCGACATAGAGGGGGGGGGGGGGGGGGTGGGGGGGGGGGGGGGCATGCTTTGAGCATTAGCACAAGTATTGTCACTATTCTTATCGTCTCGTTTTTGCAGAGGCAGGTATGTATGTACACACTCTCAAATCATGGCTAGACCTGGGGCGGGTAAGTGCGCCAGCACCACCCTCAGCGCCAAGCGCAATAATCCGCCACGAGCCCGAACAATTACGTATGCTACCCCTTTTTGGGATGTTCCCCCTGATACTAACAGTCCTTAGTAGAGACTATAGAACCCCCGATTATAAACCCGATTAAGGACTGTTAGTATAAGGGGGAACATCCCAAATTACCACGTCAAACCCTGCTGAACGCTGAGAACAATACGCGATTCTAGACACCTCCCCAATTTCAAAGCCCCCGGAAACAAAAACAAGTGGTCCCATTGGCAAAATGGATATTACGAATTTCTATCAAAGAAGCCCAGAATAGGTCGTTCTGGTCGACGACGCCAGCCATCCCGAGGCAAAGAAGTTCCCAGAGAGGCTGGGGGGGGGGGGGGGGGGGGGGAAGCCGAAGGCCGAAAGTTCCCAGAGAGGCTGGGGGGGGGGGGGGGGGGTGGGTGAAGCCGAAGGCGTGAGCTTACGTGTTTAGGGTGCAGGGTTCCGGGTTCAGTTTTAGGGTCTGTGACGGAGTTTTGACAAGGGCTCATGTAGGATGTGCCTGGCTATGGTTCAGGGTTGGGGGTTTTGGGCTGTCGGGCTAAGGTGTGGTTCATGGGCAGTCAACTGTAGGATGTTCAGTGCGGGAATCTGTGTTAGTAGTTAGTAGATTTCGACCCCTCATTAGAGTACATATAACACTGCGTAGAACCATGAACCTCTCAAGTATTGGGGTTTGAAGGGTTTAGGGATCACTGAGCAAGCTCCGAACATGGGGGGACTTCAGGGCTTTCTTGTGGAGAAGCAATGTCCGGTGTGCAGTAGCTACATCTCAAGATTCCTACTACAAACATCCTCCTTGCTTCCTGGATGATCTCTTATGTCTTTCCCCTTAGCCCCATCTCCTCCTCCTCCTCTAACAGAATGAAATACACAACGAGCGTGGTGTCAGTCTGGCTGGGGATTTTTCGAAGTGTTTGTTTTTGCCGGGGGGGGGGGGGGGGGGGGGTGTGCGCACGTCATCCCCTCCTGTATGAAACTTATTGTCCCTCAGCCCTGAGCCTTGAGTTTTATTAAGCCCTATATCCTAAAACTGGACGAGTCAAGCACACCAGGCAGTGGAAACGACTGCAGGGCGACCTGATGGAGCACGTCACCGGCTTGCCCAAGGCGTGAGGGTTTTGAGTCATTTGGGTCTCAGTTTCGAGGGCCGCTAGGGTTTGGAGTGAAAGAACTTTAGAGTTTAGGGCTTCCTAGAGTCTCGGAGTTCTTGGGTGATGGGGTTTAGGGCTTCGTGTCTGGCATTTGTAATGGAGGGTTCGGGGCCCACGCTCGCGAAATGCAAGACCTTCCTGAACCGAAGCTTCAAACCCTAGACCGCCAAACCCCCTCAGCCTGTTTCCCCGACATCAAATCAGGCTGATGCCTGTTCATGCCGCCTGCCGCACTGTGCTGGTCCGATGGAGAATAGCTGAGATACGCGGGGAATTGCCGGCTTTGCCGGCAGGTCCTCGCTCAAAGCAGCAGCTTAAGTCAGAACGTCGCGGCACCGGGTAGACACCGAATTCAGGACAGCATCATGGGTTGGGTGCACCTAATGCTGGATTGTCACGAGGGCATCATTTTTGGTGCTCGGCCTTTTCCACTGGGAGGAGCACTGTCGTTCACCTTCAGCATGAAATCAATGTGTCCCGCGTGGCAGAAGCCGCAGCTCATGGGGCCGTTGGCAAGGCATGTGCTGTCCTCGACATGTTCGAGTTCGAGCGAGATCTTTGGAGGTGTTGAGCCCGACTCTAAGGCATCTCCTCATGTAACCCTAAACCCTAAAACCCTAAAGTTTCATGATTGAACTGAGACATGTCCCAACGCGACAGACCAGAACCCTGACTAAGGTAGATACAACCAAACGTCTAAGAGTCTAACATGAAGCCTTCAAGCTGGGCCGTCCAGTCAGCAGGTGGCACTGATCCGCCTGAAGGCCGCCCTGTTGCGAATTGAGGTTTTCGTGTGCTTTGTGTTTTTCATGGGTTTGGAACTTAGCCCTCATTGGATTTAAGACACTTTCAGGTCCTCCATCTGTCAGCGCATATCGTTTACGGCTCGGGGTGTCTTGAGCGGTGCAGTTTGGGATCTCAGGTGCGGAAGGAGTTCGGGCCAGCGCAAGGATGTACAGACCATTGGGGTTCGATTTGGCCCAACTACGTGCGGTTAGTACCTAAACCCTTAAACCCTCAAACCCTTAAACCCCTAAACCCTAAACCCCATGTTTGGGTCTTGGGACATTCTATATTTTCCCTCTTTGGGGTTTAAGAGATGATATTTGAGGAATATTTTTCAGAGGGTTTTGCGGGCCATCCTGGAAAGAGTCGGCTTAGGGGCTCTCTCGGTGGAACCTTCGGCGGGCCTCAACACCTTCAACTCCCGAGAAGCGAAGCTGGGCTTTGGAGTACTATACTTTAATACTTTTTTTAGTTCTGGGTTCCTATTATTGCTACTTATTACCTAAAAAGTATATACTTTTTTTCTAGGGTCTACTCCAAAGCTACGGAAGGCCCCTGAACTTACTGGTGGACGCCTTTACGTCCCATGCACCCATAAACCCCAAAAACCCGAAATCCCCCAAACAAGGTCCAGAAGCCTATGGTTGTAATCAGGGTGCCTGTTTTGGGCGTTGGGTACCTTATAAGTTCACCTAGAACCAGGTATCTTATAAGGGAACCTAGAACCAAAAGGGTAAAATGGGGTGTCAGTATTCACTCCTTCCCTCAAGCATTCCGAGCAGGCCCGGCGAGGGCTCATGAAGGCGCGAACGGAAGGCAAGAGCAAGTCAACTCGGGTGCTTCGCGCAGTCCTACCGGTCCCACCCTTTTGGGGGCTCAGGGTTCAGGGTTTAGGGTTTAGGGTTTAGGGTTAGGGTAGCCCAGCGGTAGCCCGGTGCGGGATTTGTGGTCTTACTTAATTATGAATGTAGCTACGACCCCTTAATTCGGGAATGCCCTTGAAACTATAACACTATGCAAGGGAAGGTATATTCTTACCAGTCGGGCAGTATGCACTTCAGTTGGGATTAATTACTTGGCTCTTCAGCTTCTAAGCGCAGGCGGACAGTACACATCGCCCCTAACCTACAAGTTTGCCGGTGTTCGGCTACACCCGAAACCCCTCAACCCTACACCCAAGTCGAGCCTCAGCGCGAGGTGTGTGGCACGCCAAAGGCGAGATCATCGTTTGCTTAGACAGCCACGTGGAGGCCAGCTCGAAATTAGGCCTAGGGTTAGGGTTTAGGGTTTAGGGTTTAGTGTTCAAGGGTTAGGGTTTAGGGATTAGGGTTTAGGGTTTTTGGGCTTCAGGGTGGTTTTGGGGAGTCAGGGTTTCGGGGTTCTTTGGGGGAACTCAAGGTTTTCGGTTAGTGGGGCTTGGGGCTGAAGAGTTCGGGCCTGGGCCAGCCAAAAGGCAACTCAAGGAGGTGCTGGGCACACTCAGTAGAGTTGTTTGGTGGTGGCTTGAGAATAGTCGGGCTTAGGGTTGCCGGCTGTTCCAGCTTCAGGGTTTATCGGGTTTTTTGGGTGCGGGATTTGGGGTTTGGGGTCGAAGGTTTGTTGTGATACGGCGCAGAAGGGCTTTGAAGGTTGGGATGCAGACTAGCTTCGAAAGCTTCGTGTCATGGCATGCGAAGAGCACCGTCCAGAAGCCTCATGCAAGTTGCAGGGAATTTTCAGGACCCAGCCCGCGTATCTCATACTGTAGGGTCCCAAACCCAGGATGTCTCAGGAGGGCTGCGGGGAGGGCCCCCCCAAAATGGGTCATGTTTCTGGTTTGAACGAACAGTGCGTGTGCCAAGGGGGGGGGGGGGGGTGCGCGGTGGGCGGGTGGAAGGAGGTGTGGGACCCTAAGCCCTAAACCCTAAACCCGAAACCCTTTTAAAAGGCACAGCAGCATACCGCAGGCGACTCCTGGTTGGCTGGAGCCGCTGTTGTGGCGCATAGCTGAGGCGCGAGTTTGTGAAAGGTTGATAGGGGGTGCAAGGGAGAAGTAGCCGTCTAGCTCGTTATCACAGTACATGCGGCAAAGTGTGAATGGACCTGAACGTCACAGCTGCGCCCTGATCCTGGGGTTCGGGGTAAACCCTAAACCCTGAACCCTAAACCCTAAACTCTAAACCCCAAACCCTAAACCCTAAACCCTTGACTGAACCCAGCCAAAGTCCGAGGATCGAACTCGCTTGGTCGTGCCCAGCATTGATGGCATCGATACTGAGGCACCAGGGTCGAGGCTTCAAGTGTTGCACCAATTGGCTACTTGAAGGCTTATGGGGTAGCTGTCAGTGGGGCCCGGGAGCTTTCGAGTAAGGCCGAAACCGAACACTCGCGCACCCAAGCGCCGAAGAATAGGAGCATATCATTCGCGACCATGGTGTTTCGAGACCCAAACCCTTCAACTTGTCAATTTGTTCGATGATTTTGGCCACTCAGAGACATCTGCCCCATTCGTAGTTCAGGGCCTACTTAAAGGTGGGGACGGTTTTGGGAATCTAGGCATTGGGGAGGAGGGTTTCAGCCTGAAATCCATGCAGGACTTCAGCTACAGCGTCTTTGGGCTTGGCATGGTCAGCTTCAACTGGCAGCCCCTCGGGCAGTTGAGATCCTCCCCTGAAAGCCTCCCCCACCCCCCTTAAAACGGCCAGGAGGCGTATTGGGATGTAGGTGGGAGCTCCTGGTACCAGGAGCGAAGCAAGATCCGCACGAGAAGCCAAAACCGGAAAAGAACTGATGCTCTACTACAAGGCTCATGTAGTTCTGAGTATGTTTGTGTAAAGCTTAGTGAGGGTTTGCGACTGCAAGTGTAGCTACCCGCTACCCTCCCCTTCCCAAACTGCCAAGTGTCCGTCAAGTACAGAGGAATCCCAAGCCCTGAACGGTAACCACTCAGGCCTTCCATCTTGCTGCGTTTGCGGGTTTCGGGTAGCTTGCCTTCCGTCCCTCCAGAAAATCTCTTGCCCGCCAGCGCTTTTTTCCGAGCCATCCTCAGAGCAGTTGAAGCCCTGAAATCTCCAGAAATTGCCAGCTTCGGATTGTTTCCTGTTCGGGCGTGGGGGGGGGGGGGGGGGGGGCATCCGCTCCGTGTCGAGGCTGAACCAAAAGCCCCGGGAGAGGCCAGAGGGAGAGGCGACGCCGCGGATTGAGGGGTAAGGATTATAAGGTTTAGGGTTTAGGGTTGAGGGTTTAGGGCTTAGGGATTCTGAGTTTCAAGCTCCTGTTGCTGCTGAGTTTCGGGTTTGAGGACTGTCGATGGGAGTTGAATGTCATAGGTTCAGTGCCCGGGTGGCTTTGCCCAGCTTGAGGGGGTTTGTTCGGTCGTGGTGTGGGGAGAAACATATGCGGGTTTGCCCCAAATAGTAGGATCCCCTTATAAGAAGGACCCCCAATAAGGTACCCCCCCTAATATCGTACACCCCCATATGACTGTGAACCAGAGTCCAGGGTAAACGGCCCTGGCGTCATCTGGCGATTAACAAAGCCGTTCGCCGTGCGATAACCCCCCCCCCCCCCCCGCGCGACAAGCCTCCTCTGAATGATGTCTCCAAGACAAGTCCGCAGCATATCAAACGGGGGGAGGAGGATGTAGCGGATCGGGGGATGTTCATGTCGACGCACAGCTGTGCGGCAAGTCGAAGCCACGCTTTCAGCAGGCACCTCGTTCGTGACACCGAAGCACCCCAGGCCGACATCCTAAGCAAGCTGAGCTGTGGACAAAGACTCAGACGCGGCGACATCTCTCAAACTGAGACGAACGATCGATCGATGCGACGCTTCAGGGTTCAGGGACCTGCACCTTGGCCATGGGGTCCAGCGAATGCTCATGATGCTGGCCTGGCCAGACGACACACGAAGCGGATATGCTGCAACCGAAGCAAAATCCACGATGACGACGACAACGACCGCGGCCACAAACCTCCGTATCCAGAAGAACCCCCCAAAGCGTTGTGGGGCCAATAATGCCAGCAACCGTGTATGTATATATATATATATATCATTGTGTTTCGTGTTTTATATACCGTATATGTACAATATATATATATATAGTAGATAATACAAATCAGAATATAAGACATTCGTATATATGTATATGCATAGGTACAAATTTAGTTTAACATATCAACCATAGTATATACTATGTAATGTCTTTTTTTCAAACCCTAAACTCTGTTGTTGTCCCTGAACCCTAAACCCTAAACCCTAAACCCTGTTGTCCCTAAACCCTGAGCCCTCCCGGGCCCTCCCAATCGAAATGAGAAGGACTCCTTGGCTCCCTCCTCCGTCCTTTGCGGCGGTCTCTTCGCTGTGGACTGGGCACCATGCAGTTCGCGCCTTCAGGTTTTAGGGATCTTGGGATCTTAGGGATCTTAGGGATCTTAGGATCTTAGGATCTTAGGGTTCAGGGCTGAAGGTTTAGGATTTTCGTTTTAAGGATCTTAGGATGTTAGGATCTTCGGGTTCAGGGCTGAGGGTCTAGGATCTTCGGAGGCCTAATGGGTTTTTTCGGTAGTGAGTTTCGCCCACGGTTGATCTTGAAGCATAAGCCCCCAAAAGCACCCCTGGTCATTGGCAAGCAACAGAAGAAGACCCTGAAGCCCGTGAAGTGGGACTAAGCTCTGCAAGCTGCTGATTGACCAAGGATTTTGAGTTCAGGGTTTGAGTTTAGGGTTGAGGGTTGAGGGTTCAAGGTTTAGGAACCCGCAAAGCTACATGCTCCTGAAGCCTCGACCTTCAGACCGAACAGCACAATGCACAATGCACTTTGAAGGCATAGGCCTTGCTGCAAAATATGGGTCCTATTCAGGTTTCAGGGCCAAGGGTTTAGAGGCTAGACGTCCCCGGCAACCTAAACCCTAAACCCTAAACCCTAAACCGTTGACTTTTCTAGCCAAACTTTCAGGAATGCCTGCACGACAGCCCCTGCCCCTGAAACCCCCTCTACACCCTTGATGACCCTTAAACTTCAAATATCTTAAGTTTTGAGCCCTTAAAACGCTGAAGCCCCTAGCCTGCAAACCCTAAGCCCGGCCCAACCCCCAACCCCAAACCCAAATGGTGATTTGAGTTCAGAGGACCGCAGCTGGTTTCTCCACCTTGGGGGCCCGGAGCTCTGGTTTAGGGCTTAGGGTTCGAGAACTGAGGGCCGAGATCCTGAAGCTAGTGCCCCGTAAGAGAGTGGGCGAGGCTTTTGTGTGTTTCTAGACTTCAGGGTTACGGGTTCCAGCTACCAAGAGCTCCACGCAGCAATCGTGAGGATACGATCCTGAACTGCGGATCTACGGCGGAGAGGACGGGCCTCTGGTGTAAGGTTTAAGGTTTAGGGCTCCATTTAAGCGCAGAGGCCCCGAAAAACCCCGCAGACCTAACTTGACATAACCCCCGAGGCTGCAACCTTTGCCCTGCACTGCGCCCCGAATCCCAGACAGAGACGGTTGATCCTCCAGGGCGCTTTTTCCTTTCGTGCCCGACCCTCGATGTGGGGTTACTCCTGGCCCTGTCTTCGCCTCGCCCAACCCCGGAGTGTAGAGTGTCACCTGGAGTGCCCAACCCCAGAGTGTCCCTGGAGTACCCAACTGCCCAACCTAAGAAAGTTCCAAATATCTGTAGCGTGGGGATGCTCGAAGTAAAATACTTGTTTTGGTGGTTTTTGAGGTGGTGTGTGGGGGGGGAGGAGGAGGAGAGGAGGAGGGGGCCAGAACAGTCAGGGTTCAGCGTTTATCGAACCCTCTCCGATTCTAAATTGACCCTGAACCCTCAGCCATTGCAAAGGCCGGTGGCCTCTTTTTCTGTGACCCTTATACCTGAATATAGCCCCTACATACCCCAATAAGAACCCCGTACAAAAAAGAAACCCCTACTTAAGGAGACCACCAACCAATATAACTTTAGCCAAGCCAAAACAGAAGAGGAAATGGAGCTTGAACCCTTAGCCTAAACCCTATACCCTAAACCCTATACCCTAAACCCTAAACAGAAGAGGAAATGGAGCTGGGCTTTAGCGCCTGGCAGTGCGGCGGCTCTGTCGTGCACGAGCCGTGCCGGGCTGAGAAGCTAGTTGGACTTAGCGGGTCTGGGGTGCATCCAGCATTAGGGGTTTAGGGTTCTAGGGTTCTAGGGTTCTAGGGTTCTAGGGTTTTAGGGTTTAGGGTTTAGGGCTTTAGGGTTTAGGGTTTTGGGTTGTTTGGGGGCTTTACTTGAAAGTGCCAGGGGGAAGCTTTCAGTGGGGTTGCGACATGTTGGATCTTTGAGGACAGATGCTCTTCTCAAAATCCGTTTTGCTAACCTCTGCACCCTAAACCCCAAAACGGCTCTGCCGCTGCCGCAGCCGACTTGTGGGTTGCGGGCTGGGCTCGAGGCTTTAGGGCTGAGCGTTGTCTAGGCTTCAGGGTTCTGGGTTGTTTCGGGTTTGGGTTCAAGAAGACTCGGGGGGCTTGCCTGTTGCCAAACTAGGATCACAGCCCAAGCCCTGAGACCAGCCTGAAAGGGTTTAGGATTTAGGGTTTAGGGGTTCAAACTTTAGGAGCCTAGGAGCTTCGGGGTCCTTGAAGGCTTGTGGACAGTTGGAAGTAGGTGGTGATGAAGTAAAGTCGGGCATTCGTCACTCACAAATGCGTGATGTCAAAGCTTTCTGGCTGCGAGGAGGAGGAGGAGGAGGAGGAGGTCGAGAGCATCCAAATCCCTGAACCCTAGGCCTTCACGATCAGGTGCTTTTCATCTCGAGGTCTTCGCCCAGAGACAGCGAAAGCCCTTAGCCGCTGAGCCCCGAAGCGCCTGAGCTCCTACCCCAAAGAATGGCGTCCGAGCTGATGGCCGTCGCCGGTGTGTCGCCGAACTTACGAGCCTACAGCAAGGCAAAGGTGTGGTGCCCTCTCCTAGGTCCTAAGCGACCTTCACCCCCAAAAGGCCAGAAGCCTAAAAACCCTTCAGAACAACCGCTCTCGTCAAGGAATGGATCCAAGATTAAATCCCAGAAAACTCTGCTTTTTCAGTGCTTGACCGTCATGTCCGCGGCTCGAGGGTGCTCCCTGCAGCGACTTCCAGCCTCGCCACCCCCCTAAAGTGCTTCTTCCGGCTGACGATCTCCGCCATGTCGAAGCCTGTTGCCATCGTTGCGATCGTTGCAGAGAACCGCATGATCGGTAACGTGGATGACTCACCGCTTCCTTTCAATGTCTCGACGCTCATGGAGTGGATCTTTCACGTCGCGGGGGGCAACGACGGGAGCCCAACTCCGCTCAAGCACAGCTTTGTGTTTGGCCGCCGCGTCTACGAGGAGTTCATGGGCTACGGCATCATGCCTGTTGGCGGAGGTGTGAATGTGGTAATCAGCAGCAAGTTGGCTGACAAGGATGGCAAACCAAAGCCCCTGCCAGCCACCACAGCAGCCGATGCCCCAACGGATCCGCGCATCATGGCCGTCGGCTCTGTGGAGGATGCACTGCAGTTGGGCACTGCCCCCGAGGCAGAGCCCAGGCCAGGTGAGGTGTGCATCGTCCTTGGTGGCGAGCGCATTTACCGGGATACCATGCCCCGAGCCTCCCTCATGCGCCTCAGCCATCTCCGTCGCGACTTCGAAGGGGGCATCCTCTTCCCGGAGTTCTCGCTCAAGGACTGGAAACCGGTTGTGACGGGCGAGACCAAGACCGAGAAGAACGAAGTGGACGGGGAACCCCTGGACTACCAAATCATCGACTACATGCGTGTGGACGATGTAGCGGGCAGTGCTGCTCTCTTGGAGTCAGTACTGGCCGTGAATGAGGCTTTTCAGAAGCGTTCGCCGGAAGCCCCGGAGAAGAAGGAGTAGTTGAAATGAATCGCTGCTCTCTTTTACGCACCCGCTGCTCTGCTCGGAACACACGGCGGAGTCGGGTGTTGAACCCCCTAAACCCTAAACCCTAAACCCTAAACCCTACACCCCTGTTTATCTGCAAGGCAGGACCCTGGTGGCCGGTGGTCTTGCAGTCAAGCTCATTTTAAGTGTCTAAGAGTGTATAGCGCGCCACCTCGAAAACACGCCCAGCAACAGAAAGATTGCACACAAAACGCCTCATTCTGCTAAGCACGTGCTGCCTTGTAGAGCACAAACCCCAACAAACCATAATCCCGAACCCTGAGCTATTGAAGTAGTGCACGACCGATAGAGTGCTTGAACCCCCAGACCCACTGAAGAGGGTTTAGGGATGAGGGTTTGATATCCTTTTTGTCTCGTCATCTGCAACCGTTGATGTATCGTGCTGGTGCGGCCCTGGACCTCGTCATTGCAACCGCCGGAATCATTGAATGCGATGTTTTTGTGTTCCCCCCCCCCCCCCCGCACCTGTTTCCGCCTGCAAGGTTGAGGGTTGAGGGCAGAGCCTCCAGTATCCCTGAACTAGGGAAGACCCATGGAAAAGCAGCCCAAGCCCTTGTAATGTGGGCTAGTAGGCCTTCTACTCCCCATAATCAACCCCACAACCCGTTTTTGTGAGGTGTGAGAGGGTAGAATGGCCCATCCTGTAACGTGCCTGTTTCGGCTTCGGATTTGAGCCCTCCTTCCTGCACCCTCAACCCCGAAAACTGCAAGCATGCCCTGGGACCGTTGATCCGGCTTGTGGGCCCTTTCTAGGTCCAGAGTGGTAAGGCCTGGGGTTCAGGGTGTAGGGTTCAACCATCATCGTCGAATCATCGTTGGTTGATCAAACCCCATGTTCCCCCTAAACCCTGAACCCTGAACCCTACACCCTGAACCCCTGAACCCTAAACCCTGATCCCTAAACCCTGAACCCTGAACCCTAAACCCTGAACCCTGAACCCTAAACCCTAAACTGCAAGGCCATTTCGCAACACGGGAGGGTCTCCAATTGGCCGGAGAGTCTCCGGCTACTGAAGGAGTTGGGCGATGAGGCAGTGGAGGCCAGTTTGGGGTTTGGGGTTTCGGGTTTAGGGTTTAGGGTTTAGGGTTTAGAACAACTTGGTCGAAATAGGTTTGAAGGTTTAGGGGCCTTTGAGTGACATGCTGCCTGTACACCACTTCACGCCCATGGCTCTTCAAAGGAACACGTTGGTCACATATCCGGCGCAACTGCTTCTGAGGATAAGGGAGTCGAGTCCGTAAAGTCAAGTAGGGGCACAGACAATGAATCAGGCCCTGGGGCACGGTATTGGGCTCTCTGGGAAGGGTTTCAGTTCTTGGTGGTTCAGCTAGCAGTCCCCAGGTTTGGGGTTGACAACTGTAAAGCCCCAAACCCTTAAACCCTTGAACACGTAAGCCCTTACACCCTTTTAAACTCTTTACACCCCGAAACCATCTAGGACCCAGAGAAGGCCCTGATTTCCTCTTTTTGTGGGTCGAGGTTCCCCTACAAGCCCCTTTAACCCAAAAAGGGCTACCCTCTTTATTCCTTAGGTTTCTCCTGGGTCTAACCATGCCATGACGAACGTGACAGCTGATTTTGGGGGTTAAAGGATTCGAGCCTAGAAGAGCCACAACAGGAGCAAGATGTGGGAAAGAAGTCATGGGAGCTGCGGGCTTTGCATCCGGGGGGGCGAAGGTTTGTCATACTGATGTACAGCAGCAGACGCTCATCCCTGGGCTCTGACGCAAGCCCTGATCGCAGATTCTGAACCCCTAGACGATCATCTCATGACCCCTCAAAGCCAAAGCCGTAGAAACCTCTCATTCCATACCTGAACCCTACAAACCTTCAAGCCCCGAAACCCCACCCCCCCCCCAGCGGAGGTGGACGTGATCGCAGTCGGGGCGTCTCTTGGCGCGTGCGCCCGGGCCGGCGCGTGGCCGCAAAGCCATCGTCTTCTGCAGGACCTCTGGGGTCCAAGGGCTTCGGCTTCCGGATGCTTCGGAATCGAGACCACAACAGCGCCTAAGCAAGGAATAGCGCCTTCTTTCGGAAGAAGGATCCCTGTATGAAACTTCGAATTGTTAAGGGTGTATCCCCTCATGCGCGCTGGCCAGCCGAGCGTACTGAGCGATGAGCGTCATAGGGATCCATGGTACAGCACAAAAGGGATGTTCTTTCGCTCTTTAATTAGGGACTTCCGGATATGCCTTTTCCCTTTGTATGATAGGAGGCTCAGGGTTTTGTGGAGTTCGCCGCAGGAAACTGCCGTCTTGAGCCTGGAAAGCCAGCATTGTGTGCGTGTGTATGTGGGCGGGGGGAGAGGGTGCTTCTATGTTCTGTTCTGGAGCCTTACAACCTAGACCCGAAACGTCAACCGAACCCCCCTGAACCCTAAGCCCATAAAGCCGGAGGCGAGGTGTAGGGCCTCGCACCCATGCTGTCAGGGCGCTTAGGGTTTAGGGCTTAGGGGTTTAGGGCTTAGGGTTTAGGGTTTAGGGGTTTAGAATTTAGGGTTTTAGGGTTTTGGGGTTTAGGGCTTAGGGTTTAGGGGTTTAGGGTTTAGGGTTTAGGGCTCAGGGCTAAGGGGTCTCTGCGCCGGAAGAAACCTGGTCAGAGCAAACGATTCGGACTTGGCGGCTGGGCCCAAGTCTTCGGCGCCGAAGCCCTCACTAGGCTCTCAACCCAGTGTTCAGGGCTTAGGGTTTAGGGTTTAGGGTTCGGGGTTTAGGGTTTAGGGTTTAGGGTTTGGGGTTTGGGGTTTGGGGTTTGGGGTTTAGGGTTTAGGGTACCCTGAACCCTAAACCCAGGGTCACAGGAGCTCTCTATGAGCCACCTGTCCCCGGACGTCGTTGCCTACAATGCCGCCGTCTCCTCCTGCGAGCTGTGGTCGTTCTAGGCAAGGCTGTGACGTTTTGAGATTGAAGAGGGTTTCGGGTTTTAGGTTTATGGCTTAGGGTTTAGGGTTTAGGGATTTAGGGTTATAAGTTTCCCTACTGTCACTCGGTAGAATAATCCATGAACCTTGAAGCAAGGGGACTTTAGATGACACCCAAGTAAATGGAGTTAGGAAGTTGTCAAAGTTTAAAGCTAAGATGGACTTTTGGTGACGTCCCAAAGCCGACGGCTGAGCTAAGGAGAAGGGGGCGGCCTGGCAACAGTCTGTGTGCGTTCAGCAGGTGATGGCAAGGCGGCGCCGCCCGCTAACAAGCCTACCCGTCCCCAAGAAGAAGGAAGGGAAAGAGGTTTGGGGTTTAGGGTTTAGGGTTTAGGGTTTAGGGTGGGAAAGAAAGGAGACCAAGCAGGTTTGGGGTCGGGAGGGGGGGCGGGGTGCAGATTCCGACTGTTCATCTCAAAGCTGTACACTTGAGGGGTTGAGGGGTAGCGTGCGTCGGGGTGGCTTTAGGCCACAAGCCTTCGGGTTTAGGTCAGGTTCCAGGCTTTCGTGTTGAGGGTTTAAGTTTAGGGTGCAGGGCTTCGGGCTCGAAACCCACGCCCAGGCCGAGAGATTGTGGTTGAAACGAGGGGCGCTGTGGTCAAGAGATCCATGCTTCTGACTCGGTCTCACAACGAACCTAAGCCTCCAAACGCCAACACCCATGTCAGGATCAACACCCGCCCGCCAGGTCATGAACATTAAGATCCCTAGGCCAACCCCTAAACTTGAAGAAAAGTAGGGCTTGTGGTTTCGGATTCTGGATTATGACAACTGACCCTGGCGACGGGCAGGGCACCTGTTTTGGCCGTTTCGCGCTTAAGCTTAGTGTCCCCAAGCCCCGAAACCCCAAAACCCCAACCCCCAGGCAGCTCTACTAACCCCCAATGAAACCCTGTACTTCGGGTTGCACCCAACACAAAGCACCGGGCACCCAGAGGGGTTCAGGATTCAGGGTTTCGGGCTCTGACAGGGTTCGCCCCTCAACCCTAAAACCCTAAAACCCTAAAACCCTAAAACCCTAAACCCCTAAACCCTAAACCCCTAACCCCTAAACCCTAAACCCTAAACCCTAACCCTAAACCCTAAACCCTAAACCCTAAACCCTAAACCCTAAACCCTAAACCCTAAACCCTAAAACCCTAAAACCCTAAACCCCAAAACCCTAAACCCTAAACCCTCAACCCTAAAATACCTCGCAAGGTCGAAGCAGAGCGCGGACCTCATCACAAACAATGCGGCCATCAGCGCCTATGAGACCGGGTTCGCTGGAGTGTGGGTTTGTGTTGTGCTGTGTTTTGCACCACTCGGGCGTGGGTGGTTAGACTTTAAACTCAGCTCTTCTCCTCTCCGGTCTACTCCTCGCCCATTTCCCGAATCCCCAACTCCTGAATATCCTGTCGGAGAGTTTTTGGAGTGCCCAACCGCGGAGTAGTTGCGGAGAATCCCTGGGGTGCCCAACCCCTATATCCCTCACAGGATCCCGGGAGTCGGGTATGGAGTTCAGGCTAGCTACTGAAGGACGTTGGGGAAAGATTTTCCCTTGTAGGCGATTAGACTCAGCTGAGGCCTAAGACAAATCCAAATCTTTGCCATTCACTAGCAGCTCTCAGCGCCAGGAGAAGGGCAGCGAGTGGCAGAAGGCTCTGGAGGTGCCGGGGCAGCTGAGCGACCAGCGTTTGGCACCAGATTCCATCACCTTCAGCAGCAGCATCAGTGCCTGCGAGAAGGGTTCATCCTGGCAGCAGGCACAGCGGCTCGTGCACGAGATGCACGAGATCTCCGAGACTCACAGTGTGGTGGCCTACAATGCCTCCGTCAGTGCCTGTGAGAAGGCAGGAGAGTGGCAACAAGCCTTCGCCCTGCACTTCCAGATGAAGGAACAGAGTCTACAGGCGGATGTGATCTCCTTCAACGCAGCACTGAGCAGCTGTGAGAAGGCCGGCGAGTGGAGCTGGGCACTGCAGCTGATGCAGGGTCTCCTTCTGCACCGGCTTCCGTCCAATGCAGTCACCCACGGGGCAGCCGTCAGGGCCTGCGCACGCTGTGCAAGGTGGGAGGTGGCAATGCATCTACTCCAGCTGCTGGGAGAGCGGCAGCTGCGGCCCACGACGATCACCTGCAACGCGGCTATCACTGCGTGCGAGAAGGGGCATCAGTGGCAGCGGGCTCTGCACTTGCTTAGCGACTTCGGAGCCCAGCGATTGACGGAGGATGCGGTGACCTATGGAGCGGTGATCAGCGCCTGCGCCACAGGATCAGAGTGGGAACTGGCTCTGTCTCTTCTTGGGGCCATGCAGAAGAGCCGGATCAGAGCCACTAGCTTTGTTCTTTGCGCGTACGTGTCCACCCCCTGCTTATTTGTCCTTAACTAAACAAGCTGGTAGTTTACACGCAGAAACTCTATGTACACTGTCAGCATTGATCGGTCTTGTAGCAAAGTGAATAGCTCCTAATTTGGAGGTTGCTCTGAGAGCTCGCTCAAGTTCGAATTTGGAGTTTACCCATTTGCAAGAAGACCTGTTTCGGCGACCTTTGTTTACAACGCAAACACCGGTTTAGGGGGCAATCCAGATGTCATGTGTGCATATATATGTATATGCCCATATAAAATGGACACATATGTATGTCTGTACATATATACGTGTATATATATATATATACATATATATGCATGCATGCCGCTTAGAGCCTTTCAATTTCGACATGCAAATGTGACCCAAAATGAATGGTTTCCCGAAGACGATGAACTAAACAGGTGTTGATCAACACCCGTGTCTCGGCCAGCCGAAAAACAAACAATAAGACGATATACGCTTTCATTTGAGAACGTGAAGATGTCAGCTGTTGGTTGCTTGTTTACATGTCCATAGTGTCCGCAACAATAAAATGAAACTGACCAGATCTTTGTTTCGTACAGTTTGTAAGCATGAAATGCATGATTGGTTTCTGTCAATCCAGGAAGAGACTTGTAGCATTGAGCCTAGACTCTTCTCGACTTCTAGAATGCGAAGTCAAAGAACTGGGCCTCATACAGTTTTTGTGAAACAGAAGAAGATGTATATGATAATGTAAACCCTAAACCCTAAACCCTAAACCATCTTTGCTGATAGGCTTCTGCCTTTGGGGGGTTTTGGGTCGCCAGCCGAGGCCAGCATCATCACCAGCAATGCAGCCATCAGCGCCTGCGAAAAAGCTGGGTCCTGGCAGAGTGCGCTCTGGAACCTCGTCTGGTTTAGGGTTTAGGGACTAGGGTTTAGGGCTCTGGAACCTCGTATAGGGATTAGTGCTTTTTCGGGGGGGGGGGGGGGGTTCTTAAGCAAACAGTAGATCATGGTTCTTCATAAGAACTTCGGGACCCCTCTCAAAATCCTATCTCCACCACCAAGTCACAGAATATTGGCCCTGTGGGTCCTCAGCTCGTTGTGCAAACCCTAAACCCTAAACCCTCAATCCTAAACCCTAAACCCTAAACCCTAGAGTTTAGGGTCTTAGGGCTTAGGGTCTTACTGTGCTGGATCCTGGGAGCTTGCGCAGCGAAAAGGCGAGCAGACGGTTGATGATTGCAGGAGAGTTCGAGATAATAATATCAATCATGATAAAAATCATAAAAATCATAGTTGTTATTATTATTCGTATTAATATTATTACAACTACAAGTAGGGTTTCATTTCAACCGACTTTCTCGACCCTCAACGCCCCTAACTCCAAGAAGCTTCAGTTCCTCTTCTAACCCCCCTTCATCGCCCGAAACCTCAAGCCCCAAGCCCCAAACCCCAAACCCCAAACCCCTCAAAAATGGGTGCTCTGGAGCTGAGGCTCCTGAAGGGGACGGAGGACTTGGGCCTGGAACCGACGGTGGTAACCTACAGCGCCGTGGCATTTAGGGTTTCGGGTTTAGGGTTTCGGGTTTAGGGTTTGGGGTTTCAGGGTTCAGGGTTTAGGGTTTAGGGCTTAGGGTTCAAGAGTCCCCGGCCAAGAGGCCCAACACGAAAGCTCCCAAAGCTCCTAAGCTTCCTAAACCCTCACGACCCCTAAAGCCTGAACCACCCAATCCCCCCTGAACCTCCAACAAGAGAACTCCAGTACCCCTAAACCCTAAACCCTAAACCCCAGGTGCGGTCATCAGCGCATGCGAGAAAGCGGCGGAGTGGGAACAAGCCATCGCTTTGCTGCGTCGCCTGCACAGATGCCAGGCTCTGGGTTTAGGGTTTAGGGTTCAGGGTTCAGGGTTTAGGACGTAGGGTTTAGGGTTTGGGGTTTGGGGTTTAGGGTAATTTATGTTATTTCGAGGTTACGGGGTGACGCCCTAAGCCCTAAATGCTAGTTAAACCCTACCTGCACAGCAAACCCTTAAAGCCCTAAAAGCCCCAACAGGGCTTTCGCCTGTTGCGCCATGCTCTTCTTGCCCGCCTGAAGTGGCAGGTTGAGGGGCTGCCCTTTGGGATTTTCGGGTTTTGAGGTTCACGAGGCTGGGAGCCTGTCGGGCGCAGAGGCAGAGGATCTCGCGCTCCCTTGCACGCCAGGGAATGCTAGTGGTGGGTCGTGGACTCTGCATCGGCGACAACAGGAGACAGCAGATCCAGAGAGGGGCTACGCCCGGCGGGTCTGGGCTGGGCTCGAAATTCGAGCAGAGGAGGTTTGGTGCATCCACGCCTAAGGGGTGGATGTTGGGCCAACATCCAAGCTTGAGATCGAACAGAACACATCTGTTCTAAACACCTGCTGGCCTTGCCGGCCTGCACTGTCTGCACGATTGCCCGCAACATGAAGGTGTGATCACAAGCTACAACCTGCAAACTTGTTCACATCGCTGCGATCCACAGGATGCAACTTTTGCAAGCCAAAATGAATGTTGTTGAGGCCATCCACGTGAAAGGGGACGAAGGATAGACTACCAAAGACAAGCAGTCCAAAAACCCGGCCAAGGCCTTATAGCTGCACTTATAAGTGTACTTATACCCTATTAGGGCACTTAAGGGGCTCATAAGTGGGCTAGAAGTACAATTACAAGTGGTTTATAGGTGCAGTTGGTTAATAGGTACCATACCCACATGAAGAGAGACAAAGGGGAGACAAGCGGAAAAAAGCAGCTCAGGGAGGGTCGAAATTCCTAGAAGAAACAGGAACCCCTACAGCCCCACAGTAAAGTGTTTGAGGAGAAAATGGAAGCGAGAATTTTCAAGTATATCAAAAACAAAGGTCCTCTCCCAGCAAACATACCCGAACCCCTAAGAGAAGCAGGTGGAATCCACCGCCATCCCCTACAACGCAGCCATCAGCGCCTGTGAGAAGGGGGGAGCCTGGGCAGTGGCAGGCAGGGTTTAGGTTTAGGGTTTGGGTTTAGGGTTTAGGGTTTGGGGTTTGGGGTTTGGGGTTTGGGGTTTGGGGTTTGGGGTTTGGGGTTTGGGGTTTGGGTTTGGGGTTTGGGGTTTGGGGTTTGGGGTTTGGGGTTTGGGGTTTGGGGTTTGGGGTTTGGGGTTTGGGGTTTGGGGGGTTTAGGGTGCCCTACGGGTTTCCGGATATTGGGATTGAGAGTTGCCTTTCGGGCGCCGCCTGCTACTCTTTGAAGGTTTTGTTTTTCCGCTTGGGGGTTAAGGCTTAGGGCTGGGCTTAGGTTGAGGATTGAGGATTTAGTTCAGCATCATGTCATGAGATAGGGCTTAGGAAGGTGCGTGAGAAAACCCTGCGTCCCCGAAACCCTCACACCCCGAAGCCAAAAAGCCATGGACTTCTGTATTTCTCATGTACCTTTACCCCCCAAAACACCTAAAGGCAAGAAACCCCACATACGCTATTTCTCATATACCTTCACCCCCAAGCACCTAAACGCAAGAAAGCCCACATACGACATACGCCTCGGCCCCATCTGTATCAGGCTGCCTCCTGAGGGAGATTCGGCGTTTAGGCTTGCGGGCCACCGCCATTACCTACAACGCGGCAACCGGGCTGCGAAGACCTGAGACCAAGCAACCAACAAGGTTAAGCGGCTAGAGCCGGAGGCGGTTTCAGGGTTTTAGGGCAAGCCGTTGAAATTGAGAAAGATCTTGGGGACAGGAAGGGAACGTTCTAAACGCCTGAAGAAACCTTAGAAGTTGAGAACCCTAAACCCTAAACCCTAAACCGTACCTTGAACTCTCACTTAGCTCAAGCTGTGGTCCTCGGGCTTGGGGGGTGCTGGTCTGGGTGCTCAAATTAGGGTTACGGATGAAGGGTCTGGGGGGGCTTTAGGGTTTAGGGTTTAGGGCTAAGGGTTTAGGGCTTAGGGTTTAGGGTTTAGGGCTTCGGCGCAGGGTGTAGCATGGCAGCTCGAACAAGACTCGCTGCGAGGCCATGAGCGCATACGGGAACGGCAGCGAGTGGCTCGAAGCGTTGCAGGCCGCTTTGGGGGGGGGGGGGGGGTGGGGATGGAGAGTGCTGGGATTGGTGTGTCCTTAAACCCTAAACCCTAAACCCCTGACACTCTCTCCCCCAAGGCCGCCTCTAGACTAACACTTCCAAAGCCACGTGTTTGGGGTCTAGGGCTTCCCAAGCTCAGATATTTTGGGGATTAAGACTCGCACAGCTAAGGTTGTAAGCCTAGAGGGGTTTCTAAAATGTGCTCCAAACATGGCCCCGCAACACACCTCAGGAAGCTTGAAAAAGGGTCCCCAAACCAAAGGGCAGGTAGAATCCCATGAGTAGAAGGCCTTGTACATTTGTAGACCAAGGGGGTGGGGTGTGGCCATGGCTGCTCATGAGTCTAAATCAAAGAGAACAAGGCAGCTCCCCCTCTACAACCTACAACCTAAACCCTCCAAAAGGTCTTCACCACCTCGCAGACCCATGGCATCTCTGCAGACGCTTGGGCCGACTTGGGCCATGGGCTCTCGAGGTTCATGGCGGCTCAGAGAGGGTTGCAGGGGTTTGGGGGCTTGTAGGGATTCTATAGAGTGTGTAGGGCTTTGGGGTTCCCAAAAAGTTCATCACAACGTTTTGACCGATGTTTTCTTCGTTTTACTTTTTTGTATTGGAACTTAGGTTGACATTTCATTTTTACGGCAGGGGTGTGGCAGCGTACCGATGACTTTGGTGTTTCCAACGCCATGCCTGCAACTTTTGTTTTGGTATCTAGGTTCATTCAGGCCTGCCAGGTCCCCTGACAACCTCTCGGGGGTTGGGGTGTGTATTCATTCTTGATGAGCTTCTTGTTTGGGGGCCCTTCAGTCTTTTGGGGGGCCTTTGGGGCTGTTTGGTTGCGCCTTTTCAGATCTGCCACAGCTCTGGGCTGCTTTTGGAACCTAGGTTCAGGTTTTTTGGGTGCCTCCAGGGCCATTCCGGGCGGGCTTTTCCGGGTAACGCTCTCCCTAATTGGGCTAGCTGCCTAGTGCTGAACCTTCAAGTAACACCCTAAGCCTTCGACCTTTGAGCTCTGCACCCTAGCGCAGTCTGAATCCAGACCCCTCGATACCTTCTAGGTATGGTTCCGTGCAGTGTTCCCCTGCTTCAGTCTTAAGGGCTAGGGTTCATGGCCTTTTTCACAAAGGGAGCCTAAAATATTCCTACAATAACTCCGCAGTTCCCTTGCTTTTTCTTTGTGCCCCCAACCTCCACTCCCCAAACCCGGAACCCCTAAACCCTTAAACCTTGAAACCCTTGAAACCCTTAAACCCTTAAACCTGGAAACCCCTAAACCCTTAAACCCTTAAACCTTGAAACTCTTGCAACAAGGATCCTATTTCCGTGGGCGCCGGCATCAGCGCTGCGGAACGGGGAAGCGACTGGCGGCTGGCCCGGCTGTTCCTTGAGGAGTGCAAACGGCTTACCGGAGAGGGTGGGGGATGGGAATCGATCAACATCTGAAGAAGCCCTGGAGCCCGCCAAACCCACAACGCAAAGCCCAACCCTAGTAAGGCTACCGGGTTGACACTGGCATTCTTGGGCCTCAGAAGCCTAAAGCCCGAGCCTTATAAATCTCATTCCTCATTCATGGAACTGCTTCTTCCGTGAGTAGGGAAGCACTGAAACACAACCACAAACCTTGAAACTAAACCCGAAGCCCTAAGCCATAAGACTCCAAGAGACCCTAAACCCTAAACCCGAATCCCCAAACCCTAAACCCTAAACCCTAAACCCTAAACCCTAAACCCTAAACCCTAAACCCTAAACCCTAAACCCTAGACGGCGCCCCCAGGAGCTGCGGTCACTCCGCTACCAGGAGGATCCCATCGCTCGCGACACCGTCGTCAGTGCCTGCGAGAGGATGGCTTCGCCCGCCTCCCTGGACATCAGGGTTTTTTAGGGTTTAGGGTTTAGGGTTTAGGGTTTAGGGTTTAGGGTTCAGCATCTCAAGTCCAAGCATTCACTAGTCAACCAGCTTGTCAAGCGTTGGAAAAAAACCCACCCACCCAAGAAACCCATAACATTGAGAAAATACAAAGTTCACTCAATACATTCCCAGTAGTTAGTTTTTAACGGACCCAAAACCCGAAATCTAATTTAAGGCCCACAATAGGCCCTTTATGCTCTTAGGGCCCTAAACCCTACGGTTTAGAAGCCCCTATCGGTGAAGGCTCGGTTTTGGTCAAAAATACAGAAAACGAGAGGCCACCCAGAACCGTCGATTTCAGTACTAAAAATCGCATTGGTGGGGGGGGGGGGGGGGTGGGGGGGGGGGTGGGGGGGGTGGGGGGGGGGGGGGGGGGGTGGGGGGGGGGGGTGGTAGGTGGGGGGGGTGTGTGCGGGTGGGGGGGGGGGGGGGGGTGGGGGTGAGGCCACGAAATTCACCGTTGCCGACTTTTGAGGCCCCGAAATTCACCGTTGCTGACTTTTGGGGCCCCGAAATTCACCGTTGCCGACTTTTGAGGCCGAAAACTTCCCGTTGCCGACTTTTGAGGCCGAAAACTTCCCGTTGCCGGCTTTTGAGGCACGAAAACTTCCCGTTGCCGACTTTTGAGGCCGAAAACTTCCCGTTGCCGGCTTTTGGGGCCCCGAAATTCACCGTTGCCGACTTTTGAGGCCGAAAACTTCCCGTTGCCGACTTTTGAGGCCCCGAAGACTTTGGGGGCCCCGAGATTCACCGTTGCCGACTTTTGAGGCCGAAAACTTCCCGTTGCCGACTTTTGGGGCCCCGAAAACTTCCCGTTGCCGACTTTTGGGGCCCCGAAATTCACCGTTGCCGACTTTTGAGGCCGAAAACTTCCCGTTGCCGACTTTTGAAGCCCCGAAAACTTCCCGTTGCCGACTTTTGAGGCCGAAAACTTCCCGTTGCCGACTTTTGAGGCCGAAAACTTCCCGTTGCCGACTTTTGAAGTAGGGTTTAAATACCCTAAGATAGAGAGGTTTAGGGTTTAGGGTTTAGGGTTTAGGGTTTAGGGTTTAGGGTTTAGCAAAAAAGGGTTTAGGGCCTGGGAAGCCCATGAATCCCTAAACCCCAAGCCAAACCTTCCCCCTCCTTTTCCAGGGCTTGTTGGGGCTAATTGGCTTCCACGGGTTCGGTTGAGGCTCCAGGAAAAACACCCTGCAACCCTGGACCTCCCGAAGCCCTTTTTAACTCCAGGAGCTGCGTGGGCCGCTCGCAGAACGCCTGGGCGCGCTTGAACAAAGGGGGGGGGGGGGGGCTTGGGGTTGGGTGCTTCGGGCTTACCCGAAACCTGACCCCCTAAACCCTACACCCTAAACCCTAAAACCCTAAACCCTAAACCCTCCCTATGAAGGGATTGACCCAAGATACAATGGGCCCTTGCTCTAGGCGATAGTGGATGTCTGTTTGCCACAATTGTTTAAGGGCCCATCGTTTCGCTCTACCCCCCCCCAGGTAAGCGCCCCAAGCCTTCAGCCCGAGACGCCCTCCTTACTAAACCCTAAACGCTAAACCCTAAACCCTAAACCCTGAATCCTCTTCTGAAGGTGCTCGCACGTGGGCCACATCTGGCGCTCACATCGATACTGGCCTCACCAGGAGACCTGGGGGAGGGGTCTGGTGCCCTGAGCCCTGAGAATCTCAACTTAGCCAACCCCAAACACCCTCTCAGAGTTCAAGGTTTCGGGTTTAGGGTTTAGGGTTTTAGGGTTTTGGGTTTTGGGTTTTGGGTTTAGGGTTGAATCTAAGATGGACAAAGCACTGCAACCCCCTGACCCTAAACGCTGCAGACAGCCCTCCGTGCCAGGCCTATGAGATTGACACCAATCAAGTTGTCCGCAACAGGCGCCTTTAAAGGGTGAAGCCGTACAGCCCCGGCCTTTTCTGGGGATGCTCAGTGGTACCCTGTTTTGCTTTGTTGTTGGGATACGTGTGCGGTTTAGGGTCACGAGGACGTCTGAGGATTTAGGGTTCGGTGGTCCCCAGACCTGAACGGAAACAGTTCCACCGAAACGTGTGACGCAGGCTTCGCGTCGCAGAGGTTTGGCTGGACGAGTACAAGACGTCGGCATGCCCAGTCTGGCGAGATTGGGGTGTAGGGTTTAGGGGTGTTTGGGGGCACCCTCAGCCTGAATGACTTAAGTCACGCAGTCGTAGTTTTGGGAGTCAAGGCTAAACTCAGGGCCCAGGGAGGACTGGCAAAGACGGTCGATGCCCGGTTTTGGAGTGCGGACCCACCTGATCGCCGCATGTCTGTGAAAGAGCATGATGCCTCGCGGAATCTCGCGGAGGCACGTCGAGCGCCACTTTTCAAGTCTGTACAACTTTGCGTCCTGGGATAAGGGGCTCTGTGCTAGAAAGGAACCCTACGAAAGCCTTGATTAAGAGCCACTCTCATATCATACCTGCAAGGTATGGACACTCCAGAAGCCCGAAGAGCAAATGCCTGCAACCCCAAAGCTCAATACCTGCGACTCCACCCAAGTGCGCGGACCCCTCTTTTTATAGTATCCTACAGGCAAAAGTGCTTTCAACCCTAAAGTGTCAACCCTAGACCCGAAAAGTCCACGAAATCCCAAGGTTAGGGACTGAGCAACCTGAATTCTCAGGCTTTCACTGGGGCTTAATTGAGGCTTCAGGGGTTTGATTTTGGGAGCCCTAAACCCGAAGCTCGGCGATTCTTACGGTTCAGGTTTAGGGTTTTTGGGTTTAGGGTTCAGAGTTTAGGGTTTAGGGTTTAGGGCTTGGGCATCCGAGCAAGAGCCCCCAGAAGCCTGGTGCTGCGGTTAGGGTCTTGGGTTTCAAGGGGGGCCTAGGCCAAGTACCAAACCCTCAGCCCTAAACCCCACCCTCAACCCAACAAGCCCAACAAACCCTCAACCCAACAAACCCAGCAATCCCAACACATCCTGAACCCTTAACCCTAAGCCCAACAAATTTAACAAACCCTCAACCCTATACCCTAAACCAGAAAACCCAACAAACCCTGAGCCCTAGACCCTAAACCCTGAACCCTAAACCCTAAAACCTCAAACCCAGCAAACCCAACAAACCCTGTCTGGCCCAGACTGGTCCACCTCGCCGGGCCGCCCCTCTTCAAGGAGTTGCATCTGGGCGAGGCCTAAGCTGATAGGAACCTTCGAGGGTTCGAGGGTTCGAGGGTTCAGGAGTTTAGGATTCGGGGTTTTGAGGGTGGGTTTAGCAGTCATGGTTTTGAAGTGAGTGGCATCCTGGGATCTTCAAAGTTCCTAAACCCTAAGCCTTAAGCCCTAACCCTAAACCCTAAACCCTAAACCTAAACAGCCCTAAAACCCTGTGGGCTCCTCTCAACCCCCCGGGAGCGCAGGTCAGCGGTCGACGGAAGCTGCGTGAGAGGCAGCTGTGGCGAGTGTTTGGGTTCAAGGTTGTTGGGGTTTAGGGTTTGTAGGGTTTAGGGTTTTTAGGTTTTTTGGGTTTAGGTTTAGGGCTTTGGACTTGACATGCGCGGAGGGTGTCTGAACCGCAAAAGCCGCACATTCTAAACGCCAAAGCCCTTTCGATCACTTTTCGCCCTAAACCGATTCTATGAACTTGGCTTTGTTTCGGGGGGGGGGGGGGGGGGGAGGTGGCACATAAGCCTGAAAAAGCCTGATGTGAGGTTGGGGTGCAAGTCCTTTGACTGGTACCTGGACAATGTTGCGACAGAGGCAGGGGGTTGAGAGAAACCCTAAACCTTACACCTTTGGGCTGAGGGTGTTAGGGCTTTCGGCAGGTCTCTGGATGATCAAGGTTGCGGGACTTTCTTGGGAGTATTAAGATCTTAGGAATTGGGGCTCCGCTCAGCAGCTGGAGCGAACATCAAGAGAAAGTTCGCGAAGCAAGCAAGCCGAGAACCCTATAATTTAGGGTTTAGGGTTTAGGGTTTCTGGGGACATGCGGCTCCCAACGCCCCAACGCAGACGTGCGAAGCTGAAAGGATGTTACAGAACTTCGCCTGCCCGCCCACCCACCCAGCCACCCCGACAACCCCCCGAATTAGGGAAGGTTGAGGGTTTAGGGTTTAGGGTTCAGGGTGTTTTGGGTTTAGGGCGACTATAGAGGCCATAATAATTTGAATAGGGTTTTGGGAGTGACTATAGTATATTTAAAACAGACTATAAGGGAATGCTATGAGTTACTATTCCGACAGGAGTGTCATTTGATTGTTGAAAGGCTGCTGGGCACCGGAGTCCCGATTTCGGACCCTTTGCGACTTGCTGTCATGACATAAAGCAGGGGATATATTACTGTTACTGGTGAGTGTATATACGGTTCCTTTTTAATATTGGTGAGTGCACATACTTGGTGTCCTTTTGGGGCTACAAGAAATATAAGCCCTCCTTCAATATGGCCAAATCCCTGCACCGGAGGCCTGGACCGAAACGCCGAAGGAAGCCGGCCCCGCTAAGTGAGAAAGGGCAACCCTCTTACTGTGAGGTACAGTCAGGTACTGTCAGGTACTCAACCCTAAACCCTAAACCCCAAACCCCAAACCCCAAACCCTAAACCTAGGTCAGTGGGGAACCAAGCCTAAGAAACCCCGGAAATCCGAAACCCGTGGCCTCACGACGCCAGATCTTTGCACCCCGACTGTCTCCCGTCGACGCCGGACGAGGCTCGACCAGGGTTAAGGGGGGTTATAGGCTTTAGGGTTTCAGTGGTACAGGGTTTGGGCTTACGGTTACAGGAATGTCTACGGCCCTGAAACTTGCAACCTGTTTGGCACCGTAGCGTGGTCTGGAAGTGGTCCCAGAACCGAACCCCCCAGCGGACCCGAAACCAGAGCTCCTCCCTTTTATTCAAAACCCGACACTCTTGTTACTCTAATATCCTAAAACCCAGAGGGTTAGGGTTGAGGAGTTTGGGGCTTAAAGAAGTGTAGGGTTCAGAGCTTGGGGCTTCTGAGGTCTTAGGGTTTTTTTGCGGTAACTGGAGCACTTGAGCCCGCAGCCGTCCCAAAGCTTCTTTGCGGTGGCGCTTTCGGGGTTTAGGGTTCAGGGTTCAGGGTTTAGGGTTTAGGGTTTAGGGTTTAGGGTATCCCACTCGCTAGACCCTAAAGCCTTTCGCCCGAAACGATAGGGAGACGCTTCAGAGAGCCACTCGCAATTGCCAGCCGCAACCTAAGAATTTCTCGATCCGGGCCAGTGGCTCACTTCAACCCGGATCGCGCTAGGGACTCTACGGTTCAGGGGTTTCGGGCTTAGGGTTTCTAGGGTTTAGGGTTTAGGGTTTAGGGTTTAGGGCTTCAAGTTCAGGGGGTTTATAGGGCTCAGGGCTTGGAACCCTCGACTGAGCTTGCTTCCCAAAGGCGAGCAAGTGTAACCCCACGTATGCTGGGACATAGGGTGGGCCCCCAACTCCCCCTTTTTGTTTAAGGCTTAGGTTACCTTGTAAACGCCTTTACACAGCAAAGGGTACCCTGAACCCTGCACCCCAAGCCCTAAACCCTAGGCCCTCAGCCCTAAACCCTAAACCCTAAACCTAAGTTCTCCCTTCAAGCAAGCCTGCTGCATCGTCGACACGAGCTCCCAAACCCAAGCTGTTGCTTCGAGAGGCAGCCTGCGTAGCCAAAGACCCAGTTGCCACGAGATGCTTTGGGGGTTTAGGAGTTTGGGGAGTTTAGGTTTAGGGTTCAGGAATTTGGGGGGTTGAGGGTTTACCTGGTCTTGTGTTGCCTGTGAATTTGCGTTTTGATTTGCTGGTATCTTTATGAAGTATGGCGAGATATACGACTAGTTGCCCACGATTTGCTGGTATCTGACGTGGTCCTTGACATTTTGCACCCTTAAACCCTAAACCCTAAATCCTGAGTAGGGCCGCGTGCACTGCACGTGACACGGTACCAGGTTGAAAGATATTGCAGCTCCACTTGAGCCAGCGGCCTTAAAGCCTTGAAGACCAGCAGGGTTTAGGGTTTGGGGTTTGGGGTTTGGGGTTTGGGGTTTAGGGCTTGCGCTTCCGGATGATGGGAGAGCAGGCCTTCACACACTTTGCAAATGCCCCTCCCTGCCAGCGGGCCCTAAACCCTAAACTCCTAAACCGTAACTAAACGACAAACCTCAATCCTTTATATCATACGCCCGTAGCCCCTCAAACAAGCCGGAATACGGGCCATAGAACGCCGTGGCGTTTGGGTGTACGAAAAGGTGCGTTTTACCTGGGTTTTGGGAGGATTCCTAAAACAGGAGGTTAAAAAAGCAGGAAAAAAACTA